CTCAAGAGAGGTTGGTGAAGGCAATGAAAACGTCCGTGGAAGAATTCTTCGAGAACGTGAGTTGCTTGTAATTCACTTTGAAAAGAACGCGCGAAAACTGGTTCGTGAACCAATTTATTGAGTCCAGAGGATGGTGGTGAAGAGTGTAAAATTTCTATATCTTCTTGCAGTGATTAGTTTTTTGGTGTCTCCGAGAAAATTGTCCAATGTGAGTAACCTTGAAGTATACTGTGCCGATGTGTTAACCCGTAGTATTTTTGTGTCTCATCTTTGGCCTGCATGTGAGAGTATGCTGTTAGTGCTGCTTGGTCTGGGCGTATTTCCGACCATGCTCTCTTCCCTGCGTCTCGGCTTCTTCGGTATCGCAACGAACCCCGTGATGCCTCGCTGTTGCACTCTCTTGCGGTGGCGATAGCAAGTTGTTTTTGTTTGTGCTTGTCTGGCGTGCTAACTGTTGTGCAGGACATGCAGAATTCGGCGTCGTGGGGCCGTGTCATCAATGCACGCCACTTTGAGTAAGTTGCATGTACTGTAGAACCTGTCAAGGCGACCACTCGGATAAGGCGACTACCTGTCCTAGAAGACCACTGAAACCAGCACCAAGGAATGCTGTTTCCAGTCAAACGACCCTGGATAAGGAGACCGACCACCTGCTGGTAACAAAGACCAGGTTTTGAAGACCTCTTGAGCGGTCGTCTTAGACAGGTTTCACTGTACATATTATAGCATTTCTACAATCAGGTTTTCGTGTAACACGTACCGGTAGGAACGTATTGAATATTGGCACACGATGAGACGAAGCCAGTTGTAAATCTGATGAGGCCTTTCGCACCATTACAGTGCATGGTGATATTGTGACGGAGCACAATGATGTCAATAATTCATACAGCATATTGGCGGGAAAAATTGTGATTGAACGTACACAGGCTGAATGATGGTGTGAGTCGCTGTGAGTTGCGCCAAAGAGTACAAGAACTACAACAGGGAGGCGGGAAGTCAAAATAACACTAACTTCCTAACAAACAGTTTTTTACAAAAGGCTTCGGTTCTTCATGTGCTAATATGTTTCCCTCCATTTCATTCTGTATTGAGTATTGTTTTCGAACATTTTTCACCAAACGAATTATTTTAGTTTAGACCCAACCCCTCCCTCCCTCCCCCTCAGAACGTAAAAAAATGTTGACGTACATGCATATACAAGTACATGTACAACAAAAGTTGCAACTTTGTCATTGCTCCAACGGCCATGTACATGCATCAATGTTTTCTGAAACGAAATTGGTCAACCCCCTCCCACCCCATACGAAATTATTTCGTTTTGTGAGAAAGGTTCGATAATTATGGACGGCCCCTTAAAGGATTTTTCCTAAAATAGTAATACTATTTCTTGTGTTGAGGACAGCAATTGTCTCTTGCATACTGTCAAGTCCGTGTAGCTCTTATTCATTCTGTGTGTGTGTGTGTGTGTGCGTGTGCGTGTGCGTGCACGCGTGTGTACGTGTATGTGTGTTTGTGTGTGTGTGTGTGTGTGTGTGTGCATGGCGTGTGTGTGCATGGTGTGTGTGTGCATGGTGTGTGTGTGTGTGTGTGTGTGTGTGTGTGTGTGTGTATGTGTGTGTGCGTGTGTGTGTGCATGTGTGTGTGTGTGTGTGCGTGTGTGTGTGCGTGTGCGTGCGTGTGTTTGTGCGTGTGTGCATTCTAGTCGAATATATGGCATGCTGGAGAACAGCAAAGGCCAGGTTGCAATCGATGGTGGTGTGGACAAGTCTGATCTATTCATGGGTCTGACTGTTCTCACTGATGTCAAGGAGAATGACTCCACCATGAAAGATGAGGTGGGTGCTCTTCTTCTGGCTCAGGGTTTTTGCTCTTTCTGTCTGATTTTCCAACTGAGTGCACAATCCGGCACCGTTTAGTGATTTTTACTTGTTTAGCTGGCATGTTTGAAAGTAATGCGTGACATGCCACTGCATATATTGCATACCAACAGTAGTCGTGGCATGTAGTCCGACGTTAAATGGCTGTTTTCCTATTTTCTAGTGCTCTCTGTTGCTGCCAAGTGTCCTCTATTCTGCTGATGTGTTTTTGTGCATACTCTGTAACTCATAGCACAACATTGCTTTGCAGTGCAAAGCTTGCAGGAATGTTTTTTTTTTTTAATTTTCTCTCTTTTTCTCCCCCCCCCCCCCCCCTCTCCCTTCTCTCTGTCCCTGCCTCTCTCTGTCTCTCTGTCTCTCTCTCTCTGTCTCTCTCTCTCTCTCTCTCTCTCTCTCTCTCTCTCTCTCTCTCTCTCTCTCTCTCTCTCTCTCTCTCTCTCTCTCTCTCTCTCTCTCTCTCTCTCTCTCTCTCTCTCTTCCGTCTTTTTTCTATTTTGTGCAAATTGTGGAGTCTGATCAGATCTTATTTACTTCAAGAAGAATGTGTGCTGCATGTGATCATGTGTGTATGGGACTGATTGGTTCTCAGCTGTGTGGCCTGTGGCTCATCTCTTCCCAACTTCCCCACTTCCCTGTTATACTGCCTGCTGGTGTGTAGATCTTTGGACCACTGCTCGTTATCATGCCAGTCAGTGGACTTCAGGAAGCTATCGACTTCATCAATAGCAAGTAATTAAGTAACTTCTCTTGATGATACGTGCTTCAGTTAGATGTCTACCTGACCGATAGAGTGTACCTTAAAAGTATCAGCATTTTTTCTTTTTGTTTCGTCGTAGCTGTTTCGAATGGGGCATGTAAAATTCGTATCCTCTAGCTCTAGATATGCCTGTAAACCTCAGTAATACCGGCGGGGGTATTGGATTTAGCAAGGTAGGCGTAAGGACCCGATGCCACTGCGCTCGGAGTGTCCCGTTTGTGTTGGTGGCTGGCTTACGTTCACCATTGAGCTTGCTTTGGCCGCTTCTTGCCAGTTCAACGTTGCTTGTACATGACCGTATAGCAAATGTCATGGCATTGTCACATTAGCATGTGGATTTCTACACTGTAATCTGGAGATATACAGGCCCGGCGAAGCCGGTCCGGTTGGTCAGGCCGGGGGCGGAAGTATGAAAGACTAGGATATGGCCGGGCCAATCAAAATCTGCTTCCGCCAGTCCTGAGATAGCCTTACTTTTTCACCAAGCTAGTCATGGCATCATTGCCGCTAGCGACCTTGACTCTCTCCTCCAACAGCGCTGTGTTCCATGCTCATGGAAGTGTTCACAGTCACAAGTCATACATGCATTGACAGCTCTTGTAACACTGAGTTGATTGTGTGTTCCCCTACTCTCTCTCATCCTGCAGGGAGAAGCCATTGGCGGCCTATGTTCATGCCAGGGATAACGCTGTGATTCGCGAGTTTGAGGAGAACACATCGTCGGGAGCTTTGCTGTCGAATGACTCTGCAATGAACATGTCAGGTTGGTGAACCTATTGCCTGTGTAGATGATTCATTTGCTTTATGCCCTACGTCCTTTTGAGTGATATAGTGTCAGGATGTGTACGCGCGCGTGTGTGTGTGTGCGTGTGTGTGTGTGTGTGTTGGGGGGGGGGGGGGGGGGGGAGGCAAGTGTACTTACGAGTACATGGCAAACTACCAGGAATTCCCCCCCCCCCCCCCCCCCCCCCGGAAGGTGCTCAATGCTCAAAGCATAGCGTTTTCACACTTATGAGCTCATGCATAGATTTGCATGCTTCTCTTTCAACGTGCATCAATGGCACAATACTACTGCTTTTCGATGTGTGTGGGTGTGCGTGTGTACGTGCGTGCGGTCCTTGGCGCCGTTGCATGGTCTGTTGTTCTCTTGTTAGTTCCTGATCTACCGTTCGGTGGCGTTGGTCGCAGTGGTATGGGCGCGTACCATGGGAAGCTTACCTTTGAGACGTTTTCTCACCGGCGTGCTGTCATGCATCGCAAGCAAGCACTGGAGGGTGTCAATAAGAAGTAAGCAGAATGGCAGATGTTTATTGGAATGTCTGTTGCTCCCCACACTTTCCTATAAAAACTATCGTCGAAGTCGCTACCACTACTTCGTACATTTTTATCATTCCTGAACTGCGAAAATGGCTGCTGACCTATAACATGTAGTTACATTTTTCCAGGGCTCTTTTACGGGCAAATTAACACAATGGATTAAAATGCAAGAAATAATACACACCATTCCCCACACATATTCGTATGTATGAAATCATCTGTGATTGTAGAGGTACAGTAGAACTCTGATAAGGCATACCCGCACGGGGAACAGGAAAGTGTACTTTAGTACTATGCAAGGTACTTGTAATCCTAACATACTTCGATACACTAAAACCTGTAACTAAAGACCACGGTGACTACAGCGACCAGCCTGGCACTACAGACCACTTCTCCCGGCACGGACGGTCTCACATTCGCGCATGGTTGTGCGGTGCAAACCTCTAACACTAAGGACCACCTGCCACTAAAGACCGCTTTCTCTGGCCCCAAGCGGTGGTCGTTAGTCACAGTTGTTACTGTACTAGTATGTAGCCACACACCCATACCCCGGACAATGTCCGTCCTAAACACGTGTACGTCTTATCAGAGTACATACAGTAAAACCTGTCAAGGCGACCACTGAAACCAGCACTGAAACCAGCACTGAAACCAGCACTGAAACCAGCACTGAAACCAGCACTGAAACCAGCACTGAAACCAGCACTGAAACCAGCACTGAAACCAGCACTGAAACCAGCACTGAAACCAGCACTGAAACCAGCACTGAAACCAGCACTGAAACCAGCACTGAAACCAGCACTGAAACCAGCACTGAAACCAGCACTGAAACCAGCACTGAAACCAGCACTCGGGAATGCTATTTACAGTCAAATGACCCTGGATAAGGAGACCACCTGGTAACAGAGACCAGGTTTTGAAGGTCCCTTGTGCGGTCGTCTTACACAGGTTTCACTCTACTAGTACTAAGTGAGTTCCAATGTACAGGGAAAACCTGTCTAAGGCGACCGCTCAATGGACCTTGGAAACGTAGTCGCTGTGTACAGGCGGTCTTCTTATCCAGGGTCGTATGACTGGAGGTAGCATGCCTTGGTCCTGCATGGTTGTAGTGGTCCCCTGGGACAGGTAGTCGCCTTATCCGAGTGGTCGCCTTGACAGGTTTTACTGTGCTGAAGGCCTGGCTGGTCCCCCTTTTAGGGGGGGGGGGGGGGGGGGGGTGCACATCCACATATGTGTAGGATGGCTGGTGCATGTCATTCATAGTCATTATGTGTATGCTGAACCTAGGTCGACATTTTTAGGGGGGGGGGGGGGTGCACTTGCCCCATTCGAGCTACGTGCCTGGTACTGTACATGTACTTTGTTCTTGGTGTTTTTTGTTTTGTTTTTTCCTTCAAAATCCACATATCTCCAGACACTGGGGTGAATAATGGACATAGGCTTCGTAAGTATGTATTAGTATTTCATCATTCTGTGATGTGTACAGGCTGCGTTATCCACCGTACACTGCGCAGAAGACTCGGCGCTTGATGGCAGCGCTCTTCACCACCGAGGACACTCCGCACTATGGCCTGTACATCGGTGTCGGCCTTGTTCTCGTTGGTGCGCTGGTCGCTATCGGCGTCACTCTCGGCGTCACTCTTTACTAGCGCCAGTCGCCCTGGACTGACTGAGCGTTACGCGATGTGCAAGGTACGGAGCTCATGTGTCATGTGCTGTTATGTTGTAATGTTGGTGCTATTTAAATGCCATCGCTGTTGTCACTGTTGTGTGTATATTCTAGTCATGTACAGTGGCTTGATGGCGAGTCATCCAGCAAAGAATCCTATTCTTTAGGCGCATTTTCATGCTTTTCTCATAGCTAGTGTTACAGATGAATCTCGCCAAGAGTATAGAAACAAGAGTGTGCAACTCCGCATCTCTTCTGCACGAAATTGCTCCCGCGGCGAAGTTTTTGTTTAGGTCATCATGAATCATAGAAAACCCGTCATACCGTAGGCTCGGTGCTAAATTACCGTATCGCTAAGGGGATAGCAGGAAAGCCGCATGCGCTGTTCACCTTTGGTACGACAAGCAGCAATGCGCAACAGAACATACCTTGATGATACGGTAAAATGACCATGTGAAGCAGTGTGAGGTGCGGCAATGGGCACTATGAGTATGACGTAAACAGAAAACTTCGCCGTGGGATGATTTTCCCAGAGTTGCACCCTCTTGTTTATGTACTCTTGATCGCGCCTTGTGCTTTGGTGATCGCAGCGTTTGCGGCAGTGCATCTTGGACGATTAGTATGCATGCACACGCGCCTATATCTGCATCAACCTCATTGTGTTCGCAGGAGAGAGTAGTTCTTGTCTTGACAGCGATACTGATGTGGTGCTTGCTTGCAGACAGCCTGCAAGACTGATGCTTGAGCCATGTCCGCTAGCTTGCACATGAGTGCCAACATGGAGATTTACATCCATGGCTGCCGATTGCCAACTCGACCACTACTACTACTTTGGACTACCAGTGGCTTTAAAACGTTTCTCTCACCTTTGCCGTGAAGATCGTGTCCACGTATTCAGTGTAGAGATTACTTCACGTTGACAGAAGTGCTGCTTTCCTGTCACCTCTCCAACATAGGACTTCGTGTACCCGTGCCACTGCTGAGCAATTGTTTTTGCGGATACATCCTAGCAGTGCACTGCTGTAACTGCAGAGTGCAATGCCGGTATTTTGTTCACCTTTTTTTTATGAAAGTGCACATGCCTACATAGAATGGAAGAGAGCAACAACAACAACAACAACAACAACAACAACAACAACAACAACAACAGCAACAACAACAACAACAACAAGAGAACATCATCCCAGCATTGTGCACACCATGCCGATGTTTTACCTAGCCTAGAAGAGCTGAAGAGAGTTTCAGTCCTGAGATATTGTTCTTGTTTCTGACGGTAGAGCGATTCATCACATGCACCAGTGCTTACTACCCACCCTTCAACGGTTTTTTTTAATTGAAGTATTATCTTCAGCATCCTCAAGTTTTCCGAAGTATTCATACGTGTAAACGTTTGGTGACGTTGAAACAGTACAATCCGTATTAGTGTAGTATTTCCTATTTTAGACATGTTAGGTTAGGTATTGCACATAGTCATTTGGTGGAAATGATGGACTTCTACTACTAGGTTGCTGCTTGTGACGCTGCATACTCATACTGTTACAACTAATTCCTAGTTTATAGTACTCGGATACATGTACATATACCAGTCTGGAATAAAATTTTAAAAAAATACAATGCAGTTGTGTGATGTCCACCATTTTCTGAGTGGAATAAATTTGTACTGTATAAAAAAACTACATCTGGTGTTATGGTGATTTTTGGGGTTACATTTTTTCCTTTTCTGGTTTTCTGGGTTTGCATTTGTATTGCATTTTCATCCATTGTGTTTCTTTTGCCCGTAAAAGAGGCTTCTGACATAGTGTTATGGTGATTAGTAATGTCTGCATCCTTATACCGTATTTCCCTGGATAGAAGGCGCACCTTTTTACACTAAAATTCAGGGTAAAAAAAGGGGGTGCGACTTACAATCGAGCATGACTTACTACTGAAGTGAATAATATCAAAGCATTAATCCATTATGGCCCAAACCTAAGAATGGGGATGAGACTTACAATCGAGTGCGACTTATAATTTGGTCTGCGATACAAAATAAAATTTCAACAACAACATAATCGGGGAAATGCAGTAGTACGTTTATACTCCTTATAGCGATCCCGGTAATCTAAAAGTATACAGTAACATGTATGTTACTTTTTCTGTGCCGTATGGTCCGCTGTTCAGTATCCGCTGCTCTTCGTCGTAGGCTATTAGAATACAGAATGGCCTTGTTCAGTGTCCGCCCCAGAGCTGGGTCAGCGACCCGGCTGGGGGATACTTGGACCCGTTTGGAAAAAAAGAACACCGGGTTACTTGTGACCCGGTTGGGAATACATATGCTACATAATACTGTACCTCAGGCAGTCCTAACATATTTACTCCTCCCTGATGCACATGCAGTAGGCGAGCCGCACTTGAACGGACACGGCAGCTCTGACCCGGTTGGAAGAGTTGTGCCAGGTACACGTGTGCCCGATTGGTCTGACATCTTAGAGCAGACACTGCTTGTTCCCTAGGCTGTCAATGGGCTGATCCTGGGTTTATCCTGGGTTTGTGCAGCCCTATCTTTTCAGAACGTGCACATACGGATTTGATCCTTATTTCACTGGACCAATGCTGGCTGCACATGAGGCTGAGCACCTTCCTGCTACAACTGAGCCATAACCGGTTGCTGTGATGTCTTTCATTACCCCATATTGGGGTTCAACGGTTCTTTGTTACGGGTAGACATGGCAAACAGTGCTAGTTTGTGTTGAGATTTGTAGTACGTCATAACCGCATGACCTTATATTTATACAATTTAAGTCTCGTTGGCTATCCAAACCTTTTTTTGCCCATCCGACACCACGGTCGATACAGTGCCGAATCAGCTGAATATGCCCCCCTACCCCTCCCTCGTCGCTTACCCGCCATTTTATTTATTTATTTATTTATTTATTACAGCATCTCATAGCACAGTGAGAACACCGGCCAATGCAAAGAGAGAGGGTGTTAGTCAACCACGGCAAGGAAGGGAGAAGGGGATCTTTTGCATCTTTTTTTGCAACGTGCTAATGTGAATACGATACAGCGAAAAGCTAGACCCTGATCTTTAGTTCAGGGTTAGTACTAGTAGGCACAGAAAATATCCCAGCTCCAGATATCCAAATTATTTCACCAATAGAGGCTATGCAATTGCATTATCAGTTGAGATGATTAGGCAAAGTCGCGGCACAGCGATATGACATACATTGTACTAACAGCTCGCTCCGTATACTGTATACATAGCGCCCATATGTAGTTCCACTGTGCAATGATATGTACTTAGGCTAATACAGTAATAGAGCCCACTAGCGGTTCCGGAATTCCGCGGACTCATAAGTCATAATCATGACTTCTTTTGCCCAATGGCTCTATTAATTAATAGGGGTAGTCCCAATGTGTTCGGATAATCGCGACTGCACTTCAAAGCATCAAAATGCATGAAGCTGGCCGTTCAGTGAAGACTACTACTAGTACCGGTACTACGAAGAGTAGGTACGCTTTATCTACTCTTGCTACTATTGAATGCGTAGATTGTGAAACTTATCATTCTGTTCCCTTCCTTGAATCCTTGGTCCATGGAATTGGTCTGCTCCTTGTTCCGAGGGACGATGGCGGATGTAGCGTCGTTTCATTTTGTCCTGCTGCTAGTACCTGAATACGGGTGACATGTACGAATCTATTCAGCGAGTGTATCACGTGGCAAATGTACGACGAATACTGAACTCTGAACAGCTGAAAGCAGTCACGTCGACGTCAAGTCTTCAACGGGCTGTCTTGTTTGGCTTTACCTTTGTCATTGAACCACCACAATGGTTCAGAATGAAGACAGCTCACGGTGCGTCGCCCTAGAAACAACTGGAAGGAACTTGTACATTTGGGCAGTCTGCAAAACTGGCCTTTTAGCTCCCTCTACTTGGCTCTAGTCTCCAAAGACGGACAAAGTTGCCGAGGGCAATCAAGTGGATAGGTTTAGAAGCTGTGCGCTAACTGAAACACTGCAGCATGGAGGACCAAATGCGAGAGGTGAGTGGAGCAAGTCTAGTAGTAGTAGCGTTCAATGAGCCTGAGCAGCTACTCCATAATGCAATCTCATGTAGTCCGTTAGATTCTGCAGAGAGAGCTGTGTTGTAAAAATAATGTTCCAGACAAAAAAAATGTCAAGCAGCATGCACTGTGGTCGTCCTGTGCTACTGCAAAATAGCGCAGTAGTGGGTGCATGCATATGGTCGGTGGGACTCTGGGAGATCGGAGTGAGCAACAGAGTAGCATTTCATGCTCTCCAGCAGAACTCCATCAAACTGCCTGACAAACAGATTCTGATTGAAAATCTGGCAACATTAGTGTTCCTTCCCAACAATGCTACACGCATGCATTCACGTCATTCATTGATTCTATCTACGAACCCCCAGCTCATACCAAGAGTCCATAACCTTGGCATAACCCTGGAGTTCTGTAGATCTACTCTTCCTCATACTGTAGATCGGCAGCATACAGAATGTTTGGAAACTTGGATTCCCTTCCGATGTCGGCCTGGATTATGCGCATGTGTAAAACTTCAGTAGATCTAGCATTCATTTTGCTCATGCTCGACCTACATTGCATCAAATCAGCTCCTTTGGCACTGGTACGTCAGGTTGGAGGTGCACACAGCTACAGCACTCGCACAGTTCACTATGCCGCGCAGTTCCCAGGCCTACAGCGCTGGGTTATCTCTCCAAGCACTGGCTGGGCAAGTGGCCGGTCCAGTTTGTTGTGGGCAACTTGTCCCAAATTTGGCAGGTATAACCAGCTCTAGTGCACTTGTGAATATGACTGTGTATAGTCCATGGCCTGTTTTGCAGGGACTGGGTTGACATCTCTCTGTACCGTAATGTCGCGTAATAAAGCCGGGCTTATTCCTGTAGAAGCCGATATCCGTGCAAGGCTCTATTCAAGTCAGTCTTCTGTTCAAACCACATATTCCTGTGTATGCCAACACTAAAACCAGGCTTGTGTGCCACCCGCTTATCTTAAAAAATCGGGCTTGTATTCAGAACAGGCTTGTAAACAAGACCGGCTTTAATGCAAGACACTACGGTACATGGCTAAAGCAGACCTGGCAAGTTGCCCCACAAACCAAACTCCGGGAAGATTGTGCGTAGGTGCCATTGGATGTGCTCCATACTTGGACTTGATTACCCGTTCATGTTTTTCATCATCCACCACACCACAACTGCGTGCTCCAGTCGACATTGCCACGACACACCAGCAGCAAAGCGAAAGAGACACAACGGCAATACAAAATATGGGCTATAGTATTTGGGCCCAATTTTCCAAACATGTTCGGGGAGAACAGCCCCCGCCTCCACCTCTTCATGGCCGTGCCGATGTCGAACACCTCCCGACGCCCCTGTATTTGCCATGGAACTATATTTATCCAGTGCGTGAATTTCTCTGTTGTGTAATGCTGCATGACTCACACACTGCCGTCTATCCTCTTGTCCTTTCCACCATGTCAGGTTGTTGACCAAGCCAAGGCATCGTTCAAGGCTGGAAAACTGAAGAGCTATGAACAGCGCTGCAACTATCTTCTGCAAATTGACAAGTTCTTGAAGGAACAAGAGCAGGCCATACGTGCTGCCCAGAAAGCTGACGTGGGAAAGGTAAACCATGTAATTTTATAGTAAAGAAAAGGACCAAGAAACTACGACATCCTTGGCTCTCCATCCGAGTCTATCAACGCACTTTTAGTTAACAATACAATGCGCTGTTCTGGCATCCTAGCGCACTCATTCCAACAAAGTCCAATGTGGGTGACCTTTTCGTCAGAACACTGGTTCTCACCTACATGTACATAATACATACACTAACTACGTGTATGTTTCAGAGGATAAGCAAGATGCTTATCATACTTTTTTTTTCCTCTACCGCTCCCACTTTCTCTATGCTGTACCAACGTAATGTTGTTGTTGTTGTTGTTGTTGTTGTTGTTGTTGTTGTTGTTGTTGTTGTTGTTGTTGTTGTTGTTGTTGTTGTTGTTGTTGTTGTTGTTGTTGTTGTTGTTGTTGTTGTTGTTGTTGTTGTTGTTGTTGTTGTTGTTGTTGTTGTTGTTGTTGTTGTTGTTGTTGTTGTTGTTTGGCTTTATTTAGAGTGGAGTTCCAAAACAGGCCTAAACCTAATGACAATGGTCCCACTGATAATAAGAGAAAAGAAAAAATATAAAAATAAGCGGACAAACAGAACCGAGAAGAAGATAGTTAGATAACTAATATGAGCACGGCAGCAGGGGAAAAAAAGTCACAAGCACGGCAACCGGGAAGAAAGGAGTGAGTGAGAGAGAGAGAGAGAGAGAGAGAGAGAGAGAGAGAGAGAGAGAGAGAGAGAGAGAGAGAGAGAGAGAGAGAGAGAGAGAGAGAGAGAGAGAGGTAGTGAAGGAGATGAGTTCATCCTAGTTGACGGTACTGCCTAACAGAAAGGCCAGGCTTAGCGATTTGAAAGTGGAGCGCTTTCTTTCGAGGCGTGCTGTGTCTGGGAGCTGGTTCCACAGGATAGCTCCAGCATGGCTAATGCGCTTAGCTGAGGATGCAGTGGGGAACACAGGAATGATGAGTAACTTGCTGCTCCCTCCTCATGTTCGGAGAGAGGGACTACGGGTGAAAAAGCTTGCAAACAGAGTACTTGAAAATTTGTTCACCAGCGCCAAATGAATACAAGAATGTGCATGTGGGTGTATATGCTGAGGGTATGGGCATTCATGCGTTCAAGTAAGGGAGCCGTGTGAGTGCGAGGGGCTGCCCCGCACACCGAGCGAGCCGCACGTTTGAACAAACTATTTAGGCGCTTATCCTGATAAGACGATAAGAAAGAGGCATAGGCAGCAGATGCATAGTCAAATTCTGATAATAAAAAGGACCTGAAAAACTGAACACGGCAAGAAAAAGGCAAACATGCTGCACTTCGATTTAGTAATGCTCTTTCCCATTCTCTCCCTCCTAGAATCTTCTGTATGCATATTTTCACTGTGCGTACATCTATGTCTGTGTGTTACTTGTGTCATGTGATGTGTGTCATGTGATGTGTGATGTGTGTCATGTGATGTGTGTCATGTGATGTGTGTCATGTGATGTGTGTCATGTGATGTGTGTCATGTGATGTGTGTATTCATCCATTCATGCATGTGCATTATGTGTGTATGCGTGTGTATGTGTGTGTGTGTGTGTGTGTGTGTGTGTGTGTGTTTGTGTGTGTGTGTGTGTGTGTGTGTGTGTGTGTGTGTTTGTATGTGTGTGTTAGACACATGCTGAGGTCACAATTTCTGAGATCATGGTCAGTCGTGCCGAGGTCACACACTGTCTGGACATGATGAAGTCGTGGATGTCACCGCAGAAGGTCTCCAAGCCTTTGGTTAGTACTAGTGCCGGAGCAGCATTAGAATCACTTTGCACACAGTGTTCCAGCTGAGTGAAATACAGTCATGTACAGTAGAGTGACCTGTCAAGGCAACCACCTGACTCAGAGGACCACCACAACTAGGACCAAAGGGTGTTATTTCCAGTCAAACGACCCTGGATAAGGAGACCACCTGTACACAGCAACCACATTTTTTAAGGTGCCATGAGTGGTCTGGTCTTGGACAGGTTTCACAGTACATGTACCTGTTTTCTACACTGTTGCAAACACTGAGTACACTGTTGCAAACACTGAGTACACTGTTGCAAACACTGAGTACACTGTTGCAAACACTGAGTGAACGGCTCTTTAATGGGCCATTCACACTACGCCCAAAAAGTGGGGTACGTAACATTTTCGTCCGAATAGCCATGAGAACATGGAGAGTCGGCAGGAAGACGGATGCTGGATATGGAAACGTAGTCAACATATCCAGACCACGGTATCGAGATTTGTTTTGTCATTCCCGCAGTTTGTGTCCTAAAAAAATAGCTCAGTGTACGCACAGCTGTACGAACAGCGTGTACGTGCCTGTGTGAATGCACTTCCATGAAAACAATGTCTGCCAGTACGTGGAATACCGAAACGTGGCTCGTGTTGCGATATGGCATGAACAGCCTATTCCTACTCATTCTATGGGTTTGGTTATGCCGAAATGGCCGCAGTTCACTAAACTTTCCAGCTAACAAGCCCTTCCAACACAGCAGCTCTCAGGAAATTTAGCTGGAGCTATCAAGTCCCCCATGGCTATGCATCCCCTGCCATCTACATCATTTTTTTCAGCCCTACTCAGTACTACTGAGAGACATGTGGAGACGAACACAAAACAAGACACGGGGAATGTAGGGACAATGTGCCTGATGTACAGCGAGCAAGTCGACCGACCAGAGGTCTCGGCGGTTAGCGTTGCCTTTGCCAGGATTGGGAGAAGGCTTTGTCAACGTTCACGATTTAGGGTAGGGTGGCGATCTAGGTGTAGTGGGTGTTTAGCTTGAAGGCCATTGTACCTAACATTGATAGATGAATGTGGACTACGACAGTTGTCAGCAACACGGACATTGGCAGTGGCACTCAGTGCTCAGTGGCTGCATTTCACACAAAGGCATTTTCCGCTAAAACTTTCATCGTTCAGTCGCAGGCCGTCGTGCCCATCATCAGGATGAAGTGGACATGTGAAAGAAGAGGCTGAGTGACAGATGGTGTTCTGTACCGGTGGGATTTACAGCACTAAAATTGGCGAAAAGCAACAAAAGAAAAGCCCCGAGTGCAGTGCTGGGACTCGGACCAAGGAACACTATGAGAATGATGATCATCATGTCGTAGCGGAAAGCCCTGGGTGAAGATTATACCGCCTCCACCATCCAAAGGACCCGTCACCGCAATGAGACTCAGGTCTTCATTCTTATCTGCATACTTGTCACGGAGCTAGATAGACCCCAAAAGAAGGACTCGTGAAGTGCGTAGAAATTAGAGACGTAGGACCTATCAAGAACAATTGAGGGTGGGGTCGGTCCTCCTGTGATGAGGTGCTAGCGCCAATCTCTCTACTGCTCTACAAGTTAGCGCTGTTTTTCTGCCTCTGTCTTCTGCTACTGTCCTCCTTGACAGGGTGGGGTAGGGGAAAGATAAAGCACTCTCCCTCCGAAGGTACCGTAAAAAAGAAGTACCTTACTGCTGGCTAGGCCAATACCATACCTTAAGCTGTTATACTTTCCTATCGGGCAAAATGTAAAAGATGTTACACCATTTTTGCTGATTCTCACTGCCATTCCAGCGCTGAGTCTACCAGCATTGCTTCCGTCACCTTTCACTTATTGCCCCAGGACTGCACATTGACAAGTCTCGCACATCATGCAAATTTTCTGTTGTGCCCTGTCCATTTTTGCCACCATTTGTTATAATTATTATTGGTGCCGTAAATCCCACCAGCCCAGAGCTTCCTCTTATAACATTATCCTTCCCCATGTCCACGTCATTCCTGATGATGGTCATCATGACTGAAATGCAAGAAATGTTTACCTGAAAAATGTCTTTGTTTTGAAATGCACTTTAAAAGTGTCCACCAGTGTGGCTGGTAGCTGTACCATGTTCCAATGAGGTTGCGAGGAGCATTGTACAAGATGTTGGGAAAGTACCCCGTAGACTCCATAATGCTTTAGAGTGCTGCGTATTCAGTTATTCTGTTGCTGTATCACTGAGTTTTCAATTCGATTTTGAAAACATTTTGTCTCACCCCGTTCAGACTTTCATCGGTGACAAAACCTACATCCAGTCTCAGCCGTACGGAGTTGTGCTGCTCATCGTTCCGTGGAACTATCCGTTCTATCTTCTATTCAGTCCTCTCTGTGGAGCCATTGCTGCTGGTAATATGAATGAATGTTGTGTAGTTCTAGACACCCCCCCCCCCCCCCTCTTTCTTCTTGCAGTTTCTTGAGGGACACATGTGCGAGCATGAATTTTACTTATAGATATCTATGTTTTTAGCCATATCGCAAGAGCGGGCATGCGATTATAATGCTGTGGATGCGAATTACTGAAGCTCACTCATAATACCTGGGCCATGGCCTTGAATAGGAAGACATGCAATGTTACAATGGTTTGAATCAAAAAGGAGCAGCATCCTGATGCATCTAGCACAGATTTTGTTAATGTAGACTTCTTCCGTATGAAGAAGAGGTTGTGGCGACCTCGGCGATAATGGGGAATTGTGTGTTGCTCGCTACGTGAGAGCTTGCGCTTTTCCTGCCCACTTGACTTGAAACTTGGCTGACCCACGACCGCCGTCCAGAGCACACGAGAAGGCCATGAACAATTTCACTCGGCAAAGCTGCCAGGAAGTACAACTCCCTGCTAAGCTTTTCCAGTTCATTAATCGGCTCACTCGTATATTATATTCATAAAACTGTGACAATTGTTATGAACCGAAGGAAGGATTTTGAATACGATCTTTAGGTACCTCTTGCCGTCCGTATCAACGTTCTGTTCATGGTTGTGTGGGCACGTTCGTATCTCAAGTCGCTTATGGTAACACGAATACCCGTGCATTTGTCCTGTCCACTCCAGGTAACTGCGTTGTCATTAAGCCATCTGAGGTCAGCGTGGAATCTGAGAAACTGGTCCGCGAAAACCTAAACAAGTATCTGCCTAGGGTGAGCAGCATACGGACAGTGTTTCTTTTGAAAAGTATATATTTTCTTTCTTTCAGCCCTACTGCACCAGTACTTCTATATGACGTATCATAGAAGCATACTGTTCACATTGGTTTGGCCTGTAGCAGATCATGGCCTGCAGTGGATCATAACATGTTGCGGATCAAAGCCTGTAGCAGGTCATTGTGCCAGGGAAAAACCTGTAGCGGCTTACAACGAATAGTGAGTCACAACATGTAGTGGGTCACAACCCGTAGTGGATCACACCCTGTAGTGGGTCAAGACCTGTAGGGAGTCACAACCTGTAGTGGATCACAGCCTTTAACGGGTCGCAACCTGTAGTGGGTCACGCCCTGTATTAGGTCACAACCTGTAGTGGGTCAAGACCTGTAGCGGGTCACAACCTGTAGCGGGTCACAGCTCGTAGTGGGTCACAGCCTATAACGGGTCACACCCGATATTGGGTCACAACCTATAGTGGGAGACAAGACATGCATCGTGCACTCAACCTGTGAACTGCTAGCTGTTTTGCTTTGTTTAGTCTCATTGTTGGAATTCAGGGTGACTGGCCAAACCGATGGCAATGAAGTCCAGTCAAGGAAGGCATTATACCGTATTTTCCAGAGTATACACCTCAATGGAGTATAAGCCGCACCGAGATTTTTGTCACGAAATGCAGACCTCTACCCTATTTATCTCCGTCTATTTGACCATCGTTGTGTACGCCACACTGACCTTTTTTGGGGTGGATTATGCGTGCTTAAAAGTGCGGCTTATACAGCGGAGAATGCGGTAAATATCATGCGAGGATTAACAGCATAATTATTTGATTTTCAATTGTGTCTGTCGTCCAGGATTGTTTCCCTGTGGTGTGCGGTGGACCCAAGGAGACCACCGCTCTGCTGAAGCAGCGGTTTGACTACATCTTCTTCACCGGTGCGACCAGCATCGGTCGCATCGTGATGAAAGCCGCAGCCGAGCACATTACACCCGTCACGCTGGAGCTGGGTGGTAAATCGTAAGCAGCTCATACAAGCAGTGGTTTGTGTGTACGGCCATTACAGAGCACAGAGAGCAGAGAGTGGAGCAACTGATACAAACACTGCCAAAGTGGAGCAAGGGGATCAATTTTGCGCCCTTGTGACTGTACACGTTGAGTTGGTGCGGTGTCTTTCCAAAGTGCAATTCCCACACAAATTGAATAACAGTAGAGCCACACATGGCATACTAATATTCGATACCGTATGCATCATCTCCGGTATAGCCCACACCCGGGCGGGCATGCATCATCTCCAGTATAGCCCACACCCGGGCCGGGGCGTTGAGTCTGAAATACAGTGCATGCAAAGCGAGTATGATACCCTGGTGACCCCCCCCCCCCCCCCATCGTTTGCTCGCCGACACCTCCATCGTAAGATAATCCTGTGGTTGTTGCATGTGTCCGCTTTGTGTTATTCCCGTAGTCCCACGTTCATCCACGAATCGAGTGACTTGCAGTGCGTTGCTAACCGCATCATCGCCAACAAGGCACAGAACGCCGGCCAGGTGGGTATCTTCAGACAAACTAACTTCCCTTGCTTTGCTACTGTGCCAGATCTACTATATTATGCAGGTGCTGAGCTGCGCATGATCATTGCATTTAAAAAAAGTAGAAGAATTTCATCATACTGACAGCGCTTGGTTAGAGCATTGCTGACTAGAGGGGGAAGTACCTGGTTTGAATTCGTAGCCTGAACAGAAAAATCCACATTCCAGCAACTTTCCATTGCCGATTCAGACTGTACTTGACTATTCAGTAGGTAGCGGCGTTATGATGTCTTGGTAACCCTTTCATACTGGAGGATACTGTAGGGAAGCTATGCGGTACTCAGAAGACATTGGCTCCTGGCTACCTAAGCACCTACAGTCCATTCATAAAAAAGATGATTTCCTAGCTTTTGGCCATAAACGGGTCAAATTTTGAGTTTTAGTCACAATTTGTTTGGCAATCCCCCATGGAATGCTCTTCCAATTGTGTTTTTGAAGTCTATTTCTCCAAAAAGCAAGCCATAACAAGAATAGGATTTCGGCCAAGTTTTGCCCCCAAAGCACTGAATTGGGTAAAAACCATGAAAATTCCACTTGCATAACAGTACATTTGCGGTTCGAACCCCATGCAGTTGAGGTGCCTTTTTCGACCCTTTTTCAAGTTTCGAATATTGCGGCACTGCACAGTGTACCACAAAATCGCCAAACACGGGAGCTTTCCAGAGCCAGCGCTCATCTTTTTCTGAATGGACTGTAGCATGTACTAGGCAAGAGGTTATGTTGACAAGGGCATAGACCAGGGTGCACTTGAAATAGTACAGTCCTGCTCAATGAAATCCAGTCGCGGCACTCAAGTTTGCGCCTTGCACCAATTCGAAGCCCAGTGTTGGCAGGTCTAGGGCTGCGCAACGCCTGGCGTGTACGTGAGTGCATCGACTGGATTTCATTGAGCAGCACTGTATATCAGTATGCGCACCAGCAATGCACACTGCAGTAAAGCACTGCTTGCGTCAAACGACAACGAAGGATAGAATGACCCGGCTTCCGGGCATGCTATAAACCAAACCAGCTGGCCCGCACCCGCATGCTTGATGCTGCTCCTCCAGTCTTGACGGACTGAGACTCTTGAGCGACTGTTTTTATTTTTATTATTTTTATTTTTTACTATTGAACACTCACTGCATGATGAACTAAAATGAGGAGAAGAACTCGACACAATGGTACATATCCAGCAGGACTCAATAGCCTTGGATATAATCATGGGCGGTTTTGTCGTGTGATCCCTGGGGGTGGTGGCGTTCCTACAGATGCGGAAAACCCTGGCCCCCAGCCCAGTCTAGCGTGAATCGTGTATTTTTTAATCGTGTTCTGAGCTCTCTTCCCATTGGCTTTTGGGCACTTCCAGCACACTGGGTATAGTACATCCTATGTGTATCCTTTGTAAACACGTTTCCTCTGTTCCTATGTCCAGGCATGCATTTCGTTTGACTACCTGCTGTGCACTAAGGAGATCCAGGATAAGTTGGTGGTAGCCATGGTGAAGTCCATTGAGACCTTCTTTGGAGTAAGGATCCCGGCATGTGATTGTATTCTTTTGTGCAATGCATCCATGCCCTAGTACTAGTAGGCTACTGCGCACAGTATCCAATGTGTGCATGTACATGGACGAGGCTGGGCCAACCATTGAGAGCAGGGGAAGGGGGGAGGGGGGGGGGGGGGGCACGGTTCTCACCAAAGCATTCTTGCAGCTGCGTTTTACTGCAATCAAAACAGCATACGATTCAATTTCACTTACAAGCCTACATGTCAAATAAATTTGTAGGTGAAATTGCATGGTATACCTGGCTCGGGTTCAAACGGCATTCGTATGTAAGTTTGTGCATGTTGGGGCTTACGGAACTCACCCGATGCATACCCACTTGTTCAGCATCTTAGTGACAATACATGACTTGATGATGATTATCGTATCGAATCTGGCATGTGTGCACCTGCACGTGCAATGTAGTTCACAAGACCAGCTTCAGGACAAGGTCTTGAAGACTCCAAGGGTGTTTCCCCACCAAGTTTCTATGTAGAAAAGGCAGCTCTGTACGCTTCAGGAGTGGGAAATACAGTCAACTTCGCGCTAATAATGACCGCGGATATAACGACAATTCGCGAATAACGACAGAATTTCCATGCCTAGAGCAAAGTCCCATCTAACTGAAATACATATAATGATACTTCGGGTATAAGGACACATCGCGAATAAGGACCCTTTTCTGATGCCCCGCCGAGTGTCGTTACACGCAAAGTTGACTGTACTTGCAGTACAATGTATTTGTGGATCTGTGAAGACAGTAGACCGGCTCTACCCCTGAATGCTGAATGCCTTGTGTCCTGCTGGTCTGTATCACTCCTCCAGGATATGCAGTCGTCGGAGAGCTATGGCCGAATCATCAATGAACGGCACTTTGAGTATGTGATCTGCTACCACACATACACACCTAAATGAATTCGCACACACTAAAGGGACTCCCCGTGCATTGGCACACCTTATCTCTCCTCTCTAATGCTTCTTTCCGTATAACTCATTGGCATAAGGTTGTGTTCGAGATAAGAAAGTCAAGCTCCACAAACACAAGCCAGAGTCCTGTTACATGCATAGCCCATGTGTTTGCAGCAATGCGGCAACACAGGGTCCCGGCTACTTGAAGTACGTCCATAAGGCTGGAGTATATTTGCTGCTGAGCACACTGGGAGGAGGTCCAGTTGAGCTTTGGTCACCGAAGCTTCACCCCGATCCAAACATGTAGAGTGACTTAGTCACTACCTAGAATGCTAGCGTAGTGGTAGAGCATCCCTGGCCATAAGTGATGGTCCCTGGTTTGAGTCCTGGTGCATGTACCATGACTCGTTTTTTTTTTCTTCAGACTTTTCCTGTTTGCAACTTCCCCTCAAACTAATGAATAGAATGTTTAATCTGTGGTAACGTTTTTCATGTGGTTGTGTGATTGGTGGAATCTTTCAAGCCGCTTGGTAAGGATCAAGACGAACACCAAAGGTACAATTGCAATTGACTGCGGTCTGGACAAGTCTGAGCTGTTCATGGGTCTGACGGTGGTGACTGATGTCAGGGATGACGATGACGCCGTTCTGCAAGAAGAGGTACAGTCACACTGTCGTATTTCCGTGCATGTGTGTATGGTGCTGGTGTTGGAGTCGGTGCGGGTGGAGCGTTTGTGTGTGTGCGGCGCGCGCGCGCGCGCGCGCGTGTGTGTGTATGTGGGTGTGTTGGGGTGTGTGTTTGGGTGTATGCATATGTGTTCGTACACCCACCCACACACACGCACACACGTGCACATGTGAGAGGTGGAGACACAAAACCTGAGGATGCATATTGACTCCATGTGGATTATCCTTGGTTTCATGCCCACACCCATCCTCCGCATTTAACCCTATTCTACAAATATACTTCTCATTTCTTCTCCTCTGCAACATCTCCTTTCGTATCTAGATCTTCGGTCCAATCCTGGCAATTGTCCCCGTGTCTGGCCTGCAAGCAGCAATTGACTTCATCAACGAAAGGTAACGTTTTCAAGTTCAACGCATGCTGTTTGCATCCTTTTTTTAAAGGTCCAATGGTATCCACAAACACAATACTACAACGGCGGTGCTGCTCAATGAAAGTCCGATCCCAACAGTCGCGTTTGCGCTCTGCACCAGTTTACATCCCAGTGGTCACATGCCTAGGGCTGCACAGCGCCCAGTGTGGCATTGACTCTCTCGTTGGGATGTCAGTGAGCAGCACTATATTGTTACTGAATGTACATATCAGCTCCTGATGCTCTCCAGACACTCCTACTCCTACGTACACTGTTCCCTGGGGCAGTCATTCTAGAAGCAAGTCGACAAGAGTTCTTTTCTACAATCTCTGACGCTACAGTGCATGCATGGCCAATGCATGGGAGCTGTAGAAAGCACTGCATGCACCTTCCTTCATGCTCCTCTGAGACGGCCAAAGGGCGACACTGATGAAAAATGGGAGCATGCTTGTGGTCAGTCTTGTCGGGCTATGGTGGTTCCTGATCTATCACATGACCATACGGGACACCCATGTTGGTTGTAAGCTAGTTCTTGTCACTCCAGTCAACTATCGCATCTACATCTATGGGTCACATGATGTCAGCCATGTTGGTTCCACTGTCCACATGACATGATCACTTTCTACACAAATCCAGTCACATGACAAAGGTCTGAAATCCAGGGAGTCGTAAAATACCGGTATTTTACGACTCCCTGGTGAAATCACTATACAGGTGCTGTGACATGCACTCTCATGTACTCTAATTTCAGAGATTTTCGGTGCTCAATATTTTCGGTATGAGGGCAAAAAGGCAAGGTGAGGTGAACAGAAATTTTAGGTACAGAGAAGCAGTTCCCTATTGGTTTATGTCTGTTAGTTTTGTTCGGTGTATTGCCATTTTAGGTATGAAACAGATGCACCGAAAGTACCGAAAATAAAATTACACCGGAAATTTGTGAAACTACATTAACCTCCCAGGAAAGAGTGGAGTCCAAGACACTTCTTACAAAGTGGCCTGTTACTGTTCTCTGATGTTGTTAGGGAGAAGCCTCTGGCTGCCTATGTATTCTCCAAGGACAAGTCGGTTATCCGCGAGTTCGAAGAGAACACCTCGTCAGGCGCCATGGTTGCAAACGACTCCATAATGAACATGACTGGTAGGTGCTAATGAATAGTACTTATTGGTGGGTGAATAGCAACTGAATAGAGCGGTTGCCAGTTGACAACCCCCCCCCCCCCCTTTCTTCACTTAGTGTTGAGTTGTCTTAAACAGCTTCTGCTCCAGGAGCTACATCTGCACCTTGATGATTCAGTATGATGTGATTCAGTATGATGTGATTCAGTATGATGTGATTCAGTATGATGTGTTCCTAGGCGTTCTTACAGATGACTGAGTCTGAGTCTGTATGCGAACGGTGAATTTGTTTGTGTGGTAAACTTTTTGTTTTAGAATGGCATCCATCATGGTTAGTTTGTTACCAGTACAGTCAACTTCGCTAATACCGACTGCGGATATAACGACAATTTGCGAATAACGACAGGATTTTCATGCCCAGAGCAGAGTCCCATCTAACTGTAATACATATTATAATGAGACTTCGGGTATAAGGACACTTTGCGAATAGGGACACTTTTTTTCTAATGCCCTGCCGAGTGTCGTTATACGCAAAGTTGACTGTACTGGTAGACTAGTATCAGGCTTTTCAAGAACAAAAACAAAACACACCTGGCAATAGAAAGCGAAACATTGCGACTGATAATGTTTTATAGGATCTGCTGAAGATGAAGCTGCTTATCCGATGCTTTCAAGAAGTGAATGAAGACTTGGTGTTTTCAGTGCCCGGCATCATATCCAACCCACAAGTAAATATTCATTGTTTGTTCAGTAACAATATGATGAACTCCACCATGGTCAGTGGCTGACTGTGTATGATGCATGACACTGTTGTCGGCCACTGGCACTGGACTGGCCGGAAGTCTCCCCAAAGAACACTAAGACTGGCTGAGGGAAGCGGATAGAATTTGATTTTATTGGACTCCAACTTGCATGACGGCTCGTTCCTTGACGTACAAAAAGACCGTTATGTGTGTCGATTCAGCTGATCCTCTTGATCCCAATTCTTAAAATAATTTGTACCATTTGGTGGAGCTGTTCCATATCTACCACATGACCATACTGGGAAGCCATGGTACTATTGGTAGTTCCCAACTCAAATCAACCCCCTCCACTAGTGGGTCATGTGATGTCGGCCATGTTGGTTCCACTGTCCGCATGACATGTACCCTTTCCACACAAATTTAGTCACATGACAATGATGTGAGGCCACTCGATTCCAGAGGTTTGACGATGCACATTATTTCTGACGTCACGCGAAAGTTCAGCTCGGGTTAATTGGCTCGCTCATCGAAAACAACGAGAGTGACCTGCAGCTCACATCGAAATTTGGAGTTTTACGCCAAATTTGATGTGAAATTGCGCGTCACGTCGGAAATAACGTGCATCTTAACCTCTCTATTGTTTAATCCAAACCTGTAGAAAAACTCTCTTTTGTGTTGACTTTCTCATTATATTCAGTGTCTACTTTGCCTTTCGGTGGTGTTGGAGAGAGTGGCATTGGCGCGTATCATGGCAAGTTTACTTTCGACACGTTCTCCCACAAGCGGGCCATCATGCATCGCAAGCAGGCCATGGAGGCAGTTAACATGAAGTAAGACCTCCATGTTTGGTGTCCTGCACCCTTCTTAAATTTTCAAAAATTATTATTTTCAAACCATCATTCAATGGTGTTTTCCGAATGCCCCGAGAAGCAAATGCTGGTTTTTATACATCGTGTGCTTACTCAGCCAGGCTTGATTGCATGAATAATAAAATAATATATTTGTTGGTTTTGACTCCATGTGATTGCCAGACACATTGGCACCGACATCATCAGATCTCAGTCCTAGCTCAGTGTGCAGGTGACCCTATCCATGACGGTGTGCTAGATGCAATATCTCTTGCTGATGATACTGTTAATTTCTTGCTCCAGAATGCGCTACCCACCGTTCAGTGAAGCCACGACAAGGCGCCTGACATCGCTGCTGTTCAAGACACAGGACAGCACGAATTTCGTCTCCTTCCAGGGCATTGGCATGGTGTTACTCGGCCTGGTGGTGGTCGTCGGCGCTCTTCTCTACAGGCAGTGATGACCAGTCAGCCAGTAATGACAGCATTAAGGTGAGGTGCCACGTTACCTGCCCTTTCTGCACAGGTCGATGCATAGGAAAGGGGCAAGGTGGTCTTTCTAGACAGGTTGGTGCATATAAAAAGTGGTCTTTAGTGACAGGCGGTCTCTCTGTGCAGGTTGGTGCATAGGAAAATGTAGCTTTTAGTGACAGATGGTTGATCTACACATATTGGTGCATTAGAAAGTGGTTCTTAGAAACAGGCGGCATACACTACGGTAGTTGGAGCAGGAAAAAATGTGGCCTTGGGGTTGGGGAGGGCACTATTGGTACAGAAAAAGAAAGGATTGGCCCTGGGGTTTGTGGAGGGGTACTTTCAGTGCAGGAAAATAATGGGCCCTGGGGGTTTTTCCCAGCAGATGCCATGTAAGGCTAGCCACTAAGGGGTGGATTGGATGACCATGGCGTGGGCATTATAGGACTACCCCAGCCAGGTCTGACACCAATTTCAAGTCCTATGTGTGTGTGTTGACCATTTTGCATCCTTCAATATCACAACATGAATACTTCTTCCACAAACGTGGTGTGGGTAGCAATAATACACAACAAAACAAAGGCATCAGAGCTCAGTTTCCAAACTCATTTTTTCCACGTGGAATGTTTCACTTTTGCTTCTCTGTCCTCTATGCAGATGTTGTCCACTATTCTGTTGTATGCTGGAACTGTGACTGACAGAGCAAGACAAACGGTTGCTTTGAACCAATTCAAGCAGCGGTGACAGCAAAAAAATACATTTCAAAGTTCTCACTTATTTGACTGAAATGCTTTATAGTATACAAATTATTGATATTGTCATCCAATTCAAATTTCTTATTTTCGTTCCTTTCAATTTCTTAGAGATATTATATTTCGTCCGAGTGCTACTGCTGGGGCAGACACTGGATTTCTTAGAGATCACAAAGAAGCCTGTTGGAAAATATGGCCACTTCAATTGGCTTGAACCATCCTTCCTAGGCACTCGAATTGTTAGAATAAATTATAGCAGGCGAAGGGAAAAAAGCATGCACATTTTCACGAGCAAAAGTTCTAACTAAAAAATGCTAAATAGTATTCTTACACCATGTCCTAAATACTCAAAATCTCAAGGAAAAATTAAAGTCCGGCTTCTCATTCAGTCTTGGTCCGTTATAAAGCTATCAGAGAACCGCAATGCTATTATTATTATTAAATTTTACTAGCGAAAAGGATCCTCTGTGTCTGAGCCACTGTCGGGAATCTCATCATCGCGTTCTACTTGCTCATAGGTCTCTAGTATCTCACTGCCTGTTGCTGGTCTTTGCCTGTTGACATTCTTGTACGCTGAGCTGTCAGGTATTCCGCTGAATGGATCAAATAGCTCGGGGTATGCTCTGTTGGTGCTGCTGGAACCACCACCACCACCGCCGCCGCCAGCCCTCAACGGGGCCAAGTTACTTGGCTTGGGCATTGGCGGCGGAGGTGCATCGTCAAACGGCGTGGCCATGGAGCTATGATCTCTGTTCACATTCGTGTAACCAGTATGTGTCAGCATGTCAGCTGGTTTGTCCACTGGTAGTGGTGGTGGTTTCTCGGCTGCTGCCCCATTGTCAAGTTGGTCAAATGGAGACAAGTTACTGCTTGGAACGTTGCCGTATGAGTTAGGGGCAACCTGTCCGGCCGTGGGGACATTGCCGTAGCCAGTGTGGGTTAGCTGATTGGGGTCCGCTGTGCCCGGGTGAAAGAGATCTCCATTCGGCATTGGTGCGGGCACCGCCGGTGCAAAGGGATTGAGCTGTCTTCTTGCAGCTTGCTGGCTGTCTGCATTTGTACTGGCACTGGGTGTGTTCCGAGAGCCTGCTGGATTCCTGTCACTGGATACATCGGTTTTACGAAGTTTCACTGTGCAAAATACGACGAATGATCAGCAAAAGAAGATAGCACGCATGCACACAGATGTACCCACGCGCACGCACGGACACACACACACACAGACACACACACACACACACACTGGTCAGACTTCATGTACAGTGCTGCTCAACGAAGACTGATCCATTACCTGTCATTGCGGCTATCCCAGACCTACGAACACCGGCCGTGCACTGCTGTGGGGTGCTTACATACTCACAAAATAGGATCCCATCAAGCATAACTGCACAGTGACAGGTATAGAAGATCGTGAATCGCCACACTCACCATTTCTTGCCATATTATGCTCTCTCAAGATATTCCAGTATGCGCCCATTTTTAAAGAGAAAGTCTATTCGATGATCATCAGCATGCATCTTTGAATCTTCTCCTGCATCCCTGATGATGCCCTCCCGGGTAAAGATTAGAAACCCATCGTTGTACGTGGTGAACTAGTACTGAGCTGAGATCTGTTTGTGTGTTGCGCATTGGAGGTTTAGTGAAAAGATCAGCATGCAGGCTAGGAAAATGTTTTAAACCATTTGTCCTAAACACACGTCAATGCTCTTACCGGAGGATAGATCGGGCACAGCTGTTTGCCCTATGTTGCCATATTTATGTGGCCCTGCAGTGGCTGATGGCGTCGCTACTTCTCCTTTACCGCCCTGGAATCGCACTGTGGTGTAGTCGGGCTTGGGTACGGCCGGTGGAGGTGCATCACCACTCTGTTGCTGTTGTTGTTGACCTGCGGATCATAGAGAACAACAGTTATAGAACAACAAAGGTCACCCCTGTAAGACAGCTACAGTAAAACCTGGTTTAAGCGACCACCCCACGGTGCAAGCAAAAGCGGTCGTTAAAGCCAGGTGGTCTTTAGAACCAGGTCCCGCAGTGTCTGTGTAGAACTGTCCGTGCATGGAAAAACGGTCGTTAAGAGCAGGTGGTCGCTAAACCCAGAGGTCGCTTACACCAGGTTTTACTTGTACTAAAGTTGGTTGGTTGGGTCCCCATGCACAGTGCATGCTCAATGTAGTATGATCACGTGAGTGCAGTACGGGCCGGGCGCTGTGAACACTGGCACGTGAGTGCAGTACGGGCCGTGCGCTGTGAACACTGGCACGTGAGTGCAGTACGGGCCGGGCGCTGTGAACACTGGCATGTGAGTGCAGTACGGGCCGGGCGCTGTGAACATTGGCATGCGAAACGGAGCAGGGCACAAACTTGACTCGCACAATCGGATTTGACTGAGCAGCACTATATGTGAGGACATCAACAAACAGATGTATAACAGAACACATACTTGTAGTGCCTACCCTTGTCAAGTCAGCGCAGCGCATCAGGATACAATGACCTAAACATAGTGCCTACCCTTGTCAAGTCAGCGTAGCGCATCAGGATACAATGACCTAAATGCCACAAAGGCAGAACAACAGTGAGCAAACTTCTTTCCCTAACTTGAGTTTCGTGTTCATAAACACCGTTAGACGGTCCAGTGAGGGTCCAGTGGGTTTTAACACGAAATTTAGAGTTACGGAAAGATTGCTTGGTCTCTGTTGTTCTGCCTTTGTATAGTGCACTGTGCCCTTGCCTGGCCATAGAGTACTATTGACATCAAGGACACTAGACACTGTGAGACCTAATAGACAGGTATCAGTACCGTATTTTCCAGAGCATAAGCCGCACTTTACACATTAGTAATCCAGCCAGAAAAATCTGTGCGGCTTATACTAAGATGATGGAGATAACAGTGACCAACAGGGTAGATGTCTGTGTTTCGTGACAAATGTCTTGGTGCGGCTTATGCTCTAGTGCGGCTTACACTCCGGAAAACGCGGTACATACTTAGTAACTACGCCCAGTGCGACGTAATGGTGTAGCAGCCAGCTCTGCTGATATCACCAGCTGTGCACTGGACTAGGTGCCAGGTGCAAACTGATGCCGGTGGAAAGGAAGGGTGTGCTCGGTGCCAGAACTTCGCAGCTTAGAGAGCACTGTATGGGCAGGCGTGGATTTACCGCCATTTCGCCGTGTGTGTATGTGTGTGTGTGTGTGTGTGTGTATGTGTGTGTGTGTGTGTGTGTGTGTGTGTGTGTGTGTGTGTGTGTGTGTGTGTGTGTGTGTGTGTGTGTGTGTGTGTGTGTGTGTGTGTGTGTGTGTTTACACCATTGCTCCACTACATCTGATAAACATCTCAAATGTCTTACCGCTTCTGATATGCTTGGTGTATCCAAACTCATCAGTGTCTTCTTCCGGTTGCGTGCGATGGCCCTTGCCTGGTGTGCTAGGCAGCTGTGGTGTGCTATGCGGTGTCTGCGGCTTTCCAAACGGCACTGGCAACGGAGGGTCTTCGTAATGCTCATAGTCTACATCAAAGACATTAACACCACTGGCCTTGCCAGAACCTTTCTTTTCGGGCAGCGGTGGAGCGGCCGCACCAGGCGAAGCAAAGGGTTCGGGCAGTGGTGGAGCGGCCGCACCAGGCGAAGCAAAGGGTTCGTAGTCGGCGTTCTTATCACTCATAGGAGATTTGACTTTCTTTTTCTTTACCGGTATTGGTGGCTGATCCATTGGCGTGTATGGTGAGTTCGCCACTGGTATTGGTGGCTGATCCATTGGCGTGTATGGTGACTTCACAATTGGCGACCCGGTTGTTGGAGATTGAGCGGCTGCAGCAACACCCGGTGAGAACGGATTAGTGGGATTAGTGGTGTTGGTGTTGCGGAGTCTCTGCTGCTCCTCCATGGAGGGAGAGCGAGCGAACGGGTTTCTCTTCGGGATGCCAGCTGGCTTCGGTGCATCCCCAGCTGCAGCATGGGGTGTAGTGGTGGATGATGCTGATACTGTATTTCTGCTTGTGCTGGGTGAGATTTCGAGCTGCTCTGAAAGCTGTTGCAGATCACGATCCAGGGCAGACATTTGGTCGCTGACTTCATCAAATCCCCTCTGCATGGATGATGGTCTACTGCCATTCGTGCCACCGGCTGTAGTCCGTGTGCGGACGGCTGGTCGAGGCTGGCTAGATGCCACGGAAGTACTGGCAGCAGTGGTAGTGGCGGTATTGCTTGGGGAATCCCAAGACGGTATTTCTGCGTACGGATTGATCTGGACTTCATCTGATGTCATGACAGGAGGTGGAGATGGGTCGGATAGGTCGATCAGTGCGGGTTGGTTTTGTGACAACATGCCGCTGCTGCTTCGCCTTGGCTTGAGTTTGTCGTACGGGACGTGCTGGCTAGCTGCGGTGGTAGGGGTGTTGGTCGGTGATAATACGGCCTGCATGGACACATCATCAAGTCAGCAAACAAGGCAGCAAACATGTGGTCATTATCAAACAAGACACTTGTCAATGCAATTCTTACCCGGATTGTCCTCACTGCAGCTTGTGTGACCATGCTTTTTTACTCTCTTGTGATCATGGCCAGCATGGCTGTGCTTCAGAATGCCAGATGTACAAAACGTGATCCGGCGTGTGCATGTGTTCAGCTCTTAACTTAGCAACCCACCATCATACAGTACCGCAAAGAGACCAACAGATATTCTACAGGAGCCCACATCAACAATCAAAGGCAGCACACACCGCTACTCATGACACGGTGGTAAGCTCTGAATGGGGAGTGACTTCGGACACAGGTGCCATGCAAATGTCACAAGCTCCCAGTCTTGCCACTACCAGATGCATATCACGAAAGCCTAGGTGTTGCAGATCTCACGTCATTTTCAGTTTCTTCTCCCTGATAATCCAATGCCTCCCCTATAACATAGTATCGTGTGTGGTAGAACTGAGGGAGATGGTATGGCAACACCTTCATCCTCCCTCTCTATCCCTTTCCCCCTCCCCGCCTCCTCCCCTCCCTCCACCATGCTTTTTTACTCTCTTGTGATCATGGCCAGCATGGCTGTGCTTCAGAATGCCAGATGTACAAAACGTGATCCGGCGTGTGCATGTGTTCAGCTCTTAACTTAGCAACCCACCATCATACAGTACCGCAAAGAGACCAACAGATATTCTACAGGAGCCCACATCAACAATCAAAGGCAGCACACACCGCTACTCATGACACGGTGGTAAGCTCTGAATGGGGAGTGACTTCGGACACAGGTGCCATGCAAATGTCACAAGCTCCCAGTCTTGCCACTACCAGATGCATATCACGAAAGCCTAGGTGTTGCAGATCTCACGTCATTTTCAGTTTCTTCTCCCTGATAATCCAATGCCTCCCCTATAACATAGTATCGTGTGTGGTAGAACTGAGGGAGATGGTATGGCAACACCTTCATCCTCCCTCTCTATCCCTCTCCCCCTCCCTCTCCCCCTCCCCGCCTCCTCCCCTCCCTCCCTCCCTCCCTCTAGAACTCAGGGAGATGGTGTGGTAACACCTTCATCTTCCCTCCTCCCTCCCTCCCTCCCTCCCTCCCTCCCTCCCCCTCTCTCCCCCTCTCTCTCTCTCTCTCTCTCTCTCTCTCTCTCTCTCTCTCTCTCTCTCTCTCTCTCTCTCTCTCTCTCTCTCTCTCTCTCTCTCTCTCTCTCTCTCTCTCTCGCTCTCTTTCGCTCTCTTTCTCTCTCTCTCTCTCTCTCATACTTTTCCAGAACAGAAAATGTAGTAAAACAGATCCATGGCAACGTAATATATACGTACATCCATAGGTTGAGGGTCCGAGGCTTTGCGACCTGCTCTCATTGGCTTAGGAGGACCAGCAATTGCCGCCTGCTGTGCTCCGGGATGTATATTCCCAGATGCTGCCATTGCCGCATCATTCCCAGGACTGGCCATACTGTTCAGACTGGTTCGTTGACGTGCTGGCCGGGGTAGAGTGGCACCGACCGCATCAAACACGTGCGTGCTGCCGGGGCCTGATTTCTTCTTGGAGCGGTACGGTTGAGGTTGTTGCGGGAACTCCACCGTAGCTGCATTCCACATGATTAAAGAATGTGTTACAAGCAACACAATCATGGTACAACAAATAGTGGTGGCGACTTCAACAATTGTAGTGGAAGTCCATAACATTCCCCACGTGGGAGGTTGTGCTTTTCCTTATAGCCGATATGATATATTGCCTCAACGAAAGATGTTGAAGTTTTTCTGTATGTTCTTTGAGCAGAGGAATGCAGTGGCGTGTGCACTACTGGATGTGGAACAGGGGACACACACTGAGAACATACCAGTACTTGAACGGTCATACCAACTCATGTCATCAGTCCATTTCTAGTCCTAACCTGAAGGCGCTGAGGTTGGACTTGTCGGGGGTGCAATTCCCGGCGGCAGTACGCCCTGTGTTTTGAAATCCCTGTGGAGCTGAGCAATGTTATCCTGGCATCTCCTGTTTAGAAGAAGACAGAGAGCAGCAGAGCACCTCTGAACATCATGAGTGCAGATTCAAACAAGAGACGCACTCGACCATTTCAACCAGCGGCACTCAACTTACTTGAATATGGCGTCACCGAAGTTTGTTTGAAACTCAAACAGTCCAGCAACGTCAGCACAGCGGCGTCCTGCCTCGAAGGTGAACTTCTTAGAGTCTCTGCCGTAACGCCGGATGTAACAAAGAGGCCAACTGCACAGTATTTCATCTGTCATCATGAAACACAGAACAGAGACATGTACTCATATCCGAAACTCGTTTATTGCTGCCATTGCTGACTGGTAGAGAATCAGCTGGAACAGATGCACAGAAAGCGCCATGGAGGACAGTGCAACAGATTATCGGTTATCTGGTCCTTTCCCACCAGACTGACAAGGAATACTGACACATTCTAACATTCTAACGCAAAACTTGTGCCCACCGTTTTCCAAGTTTTCAATTTCCTCTGTAGAAGGTCTGGGTCCAGGCGGGTTCTAGGTGTGACAGTGATAGACCAGATAAGGAGTGATTGTAGAGCCAGGGTGTGAGCTTTGGGTGGGTACTGGATGCATGCAATACAACAGAGCCAGAGTGTGATTTTCAGGAACTTGAGGTATTGATAGCCGCGCTACAGCAGATCGAGGGGAACCAGCGCACGAGTTTCAGATGGGTGTTTCTAGTACACTCATACGTCATCGTTTATCCGGGCGGTCCGGGACCGGGCACTGCCCGCAACTTAAAAATGTCGCTAACTCAGAATCTGCGAATCACATAATATATTTTGATGGGGAAAGGCCATAGATATGGCATATGGCATCACTATTTCCACAAAAAGTTACAAAAAGTAGTAATATTGAAATTCGCCAAAAGGGTGCCCGGTAGACCAAAGTGCCCGTAACTTTGGGGTCCGGATAACCGAGGTATGAGCATACTAACTTATGGTTTGAGGTTCTGATGCTGGATGCCTGTACTACAGCAAATCCAGTGTGTGATTTTCAGCTAGGCCCCCTGCGCTCTGCATAATACCACCAATAGCAGAGCCAGTGCGTCAGGTTCGGAAGGGTGCTGTATGCCTGTATTACAGCAGCACCAGTGAGATTCAGAAACCAGTATAGTGCCGCATGCGGGGCGGTAAACCAGAGTAGGTGACCGGGCAGATAGCTAGTGCCTGGATGCCTGTACTACAGCAGAGCCAGTTTCCGATGCTGGGATACCATCGTAATATCCGACATCTCACTGCAACAGTAATTTGAATTCTCTATTCTCACGATGGCACCATCACCAATTAGAGATCACAACGATACTTTGAGAGTAAAAAATGCATTTTGCGTTTGATATTTTGTTCTGATATCCCTTTAGCCATTGTATCCTGACAACCCATGTGACTGTATAGCCGATACAGACTGTACTCGGTATTGAGCTCCGTATCTGCTGGGAAACAGCAGTTCTCTGTAGACGCTGATGTCTGGGCTAGGCTTCTATCCACACCAGGCTTCTATACAAAAACAGGTACTTCTACCTGTATGTGTGTTAACACTAAAACTAGACTTACTTAGTATGTGTCAACAGTATAAGATATTATCTTGAAAATCAGGCTTGTAATCAAAACCGGCTTTTATACGAGGCAGGCTTTAGTGCAAGACACTACGCCGGGTATATCAATAGCTCACCGGTCATCACATGCTGCAGCTGCAAAGTACTCGGCGTGACTATCAGATACACATCTCCAGAGAAGCCCAGCCGGTAGCTAGCGTCGGTGTTCTTGACCCGCACTCGGACACGCTCACCTAAGACAAATGGACAGCACATGTACGCACAAGGTTGACAACGGAGGAGAGCCGGGCAATAGCTAGCTACAGTGTACTGTAAGGCAGGACGTTAGGAGAGTATCAGTGTGCCCAATTTCTGGCCATTGCCGCCGTGACTCCGTATTTTGTTATCATTAGATGTGTGTGTGTGTGTGTGTGTGTGTGTGTGTGTTTGTGTGTGTGTGTGTGTGTGTGTGTGTGTGTGTGTGTGCGTGTGTGTGTGTGTGTGTGTGTGAATGTGGGTGAATGTGTGCGTACATGTATATGAATGTGTGTTTGTGTGTATGCGCGCACGGACGCGTGACATTTCTAGTACTGTGGTTCAACCGTGACTCACCCGTGTCGGCTGAGTTGTAGATGCTATTCTCTGCTCCACCGAACTCAGCGGGTCCGCCAGCCTGGTTTGCGGCAGTGACTGCACCGCCCATGCTTGGTGTACCGTGCTGCCTGGTATCAAACCCTTGTACATGTGGAGATACGTGTAGAAGACAACACTAGCATGTGTTGACCAAGTTTAACCAAGCCAAGTAACTTCACTTCAATGCATTTCTAGTCGCGCTTGGCATTCACATCATGTTAAAATTCACATTCGCATACTTGCACTATTGCCATACTAGTACTGCAACTAATTTTAATATCTCGTCGTCTCCTTTCCCGAGGGGGCTCACAACGGCCGTTAAAACACGGAAAATCCAGCAGCAGATGCAGCGCCCAACGGTGGGGATGAGTCTCACAACCACAGGCACAAGTGCTGAGAACCCCATCAGCCGCATCCATGTACCTGGCCACAAGGTCCCAGTTGGATGTGGGTAGCAGCACGGCTGGAAAACCGCTCCCCGGAGGCACGACTTCAACAAGTAGAAAATCGAATAGAAATTATCAACAGATATATTAGTATTGACAATTCTGCCATGCTGCTGAACAGCACGGTCAACGTATTACCCTGAACTGGCACATGCACTCACCAGTTTGAAACGGGTCACCAAAGTCGTCCATCCGGTCGGACGGCATAGCTGTGGCTGGGACGTGCTGCGCAGCGGCGTGACCTGCAACTCGCACCGTTGGTTGATCTCTATGTGCCGGCATGGTCATGGACCTGCCGAGTGATGACCGCTGCGATCTCCCCTGAGAGCCCTGGCCCCCGCTGCCGCCGGCGTGGCATTTTTCCACGACGTCCTTAATGGCTTGGAGCCAAAAGTTGAGATCAGCCTGTCGACAAATAATCCCGGCATACTAACTTCAGAGCTTGTCTGCCCTTTTCAATCCCTGGGACAAAATATTGACCCATCGATTTATCAGTGTGCTCATAAAGGTAGATCACTTCATTAAAAATTTGTTTTGTGGAAGGAGGCTAATATATGTATAGTAAGACATGTGACTAACGACCACCCCTCCCGTAGGGCCACAGAAAGCGGTCTTTAGTGACAGGTGGTCCTTAGTCAGAGGTTTGCACCGCACAACCATAATAATAATATTATGAATGTGAGACCGTCAGTGCCTGGTGCAGTGGTCTGTAGTACCTGGCTGGTCGCTAGTCACGGTGGTCTTTAGTTACAGGTTTTACTGTAGTACCTGACTGGTCGCTAGTCACGGTGGTCTTTAGTTACAGGTTCTACTCTATGTTGAAGTTAGGTATAAGGCCAGAGTCAGTGCATGAAGCTCATTCTGTGTTGCTAAATTATCTATGTGCTACCACACTAAAGTTATGAAAGGTACCATTCAACTGTTCAATAATGCAACAATCACTCCTCCTCTTCCCCGTCATGCGTAGCCATTACACCCACATCAATATTTCAACGAAGAGTTTACGGGTAGTTCAAGAACCCCCGTTATTGATTGCCCGTTATTGATGTGGGTGTAGTGGATACCAAGGGCAGTCGGCTGAGAGCGCATGGAGGGGAAGAGGAGGAGTGATTGCTATCACGCTATCCCATCCAGTACAGAGAAATGCACCCTGTGTTCATCCATTCGTTTTCATCGCAAAAAGAGGTTTATCTGCAAATCACAGGTAACTTTACCTATCAAGAGAGGACACAGTTGCATAGCAGACAAAGGGGGATATAGTCGAGGACATTTCGGCAATCTCCAACCATTTTTCCACCAAGGTGTCACCACCTCACCATGTAGGATAGGAACTTTGGAAATGTGTTGGCATTGCACTGATATTGGTACCTATGTGTTTACCTGAGATGGTGCTGCCAAGCGATGTGACGTGATTGGTGTTCTCACATCAAACACGTAGGGGTTATTCTTGTCACCATGCGTTTGTAGGATACCCTGGCACACATGCGCAAACATATGTACGCACACACACACACACACACACACACACACACACACACACACACACACACACACACACACACAAAACAATATAGACACAGACCCAGACAGACCCAGACAGACAGACAGACAGACAGACAGACAGACAGACAGACAGACAGACAGACAGACACACAGACAGACAGACAGACAGACAGACAGACAGACAGACAGACAGACAGACAGACAGACAGACAGACACACACAGATGCAAACACAAACAACACAACTAACATGAGTACCACACTAGTTACTTTGGTCATACCACATCTCTACTTTCTCCATTCGGACTCTCGAATATTAGCACAATCATGACCAATACCGGATTGCTTTGGGTACCACCAGTACGAGTTTAAAGCGCACATAAGACCACTCCCACACCTCTTCGTTATCCAACATGCCACAAAATAATCGACCTGCTATTTCAGTTCACACCTGCTGGCCCAAGCTGGTCGTCTTTGTTCCCTGCCTATTCTATGTTGTCAAACTTCAACATACCAAGGCGCACAATCACCAGATAATCCTTATTATAATTATCAATCATAAAATTAATACAGTAACAGCTGTCCTTCATGACAAAAAAACACCGATCTCGAGACACCACCTGACTTGAGGGACAACCTGACTTGAGAGGCAACCTGACTTGAGAGGCAACCTGACTTGAGAGGCAACCTGACTTGAGAGGCAACCTGACTTGAGAGGCAACCTGACTTGAGAGACAACCTGACTTGAGAGACAACCTGACTGGAGGGACAACCTGACTGGAGGGACAACCTGACTTGAGAGACAACCTGACTTGAGGGACAACCTGACTTGATAGACAACCTGACTTGATAGACAACCTTACTGGAGGGACAACCTGACTTGAGAGAACCTGACTGGAGAGACAACCTGACTTGAGAGACCAGGTGGTCTCTCAAGTCAGGTTGGATGTTTAGCTCATGTGATAATCGGGTGACAACCTTTAGGGTTGGTTCACATAAGCCAAATCGGCGCCGGGAAGCACCGGTGGTGAGCCAGCTCCCGATCTGTCCCGCATACGGTTCGAGTACTAAATCTACTACATGTAGTACAGAATGTACCCCAATGCTACGGCAGGTTTGAAAGCTTGAATTCTTTGTTTCTTCAGTAGTTCAAGGTCTTTCGGTGATGGCAACTTGGTGCTACCTTTTACTGGAGATCATGACACTACTTCTACACCTTTTATTGCAGTCTAGTAAGCGATGGTGTCGAAATTATGCATGCAAACGTTGATGAAGTCACAAGAACTTGCCAATGTATCCTTTCCGATTTTTTATTTGTTTTAATTGTATTTCTTCAGAATTCCCAAACTCCATTGCAGCGTATTTCTTGCACTTGAAAATACCGCCATTCCGGCAACAGGCTCTCAGCTGCACCAAATAAATAAATAACTTTGCCAATATGTCGCCCATTGTGTCTCATTGTGTCTTATAAATTGCACAACAGTCAAGCAGATCATCCGAGAAAGACGGGTTGGTATGCTGACTGAATTTACCACCTTGAAGCGACTACAAGAACGGTTCACAAACCACTTTTGGTCAAAATTGTATGGGGTCGGTGCCGGGGCAGATCGCAAGAGTTAGGCACTGCCCAACTTTGACGGCGATCCCTTGCGATTTTCTACCCCCCCCCAGGATTTTGTCACGATTGCACTGGTTCACATAATCACAATGTGCCGGGAGAGGTTTCAAGAGGTCCACCGCCAGTGGCTCCCGGCGTGTTCAGGCGATATGTGAACCAACCCTAAGTGACGTCAAAGTCAGTATTCGCGGCCAATTGTAAACTCACAGAAGGCGAACATTCTCGCAGGGGAATGATGCGCTTGTTTTCCAGGCGGGCATAGCTCCACTCATCGTCATAATACTCCAGCCGGGCTGTCTCCTGCGAGGATTGCTGGAACAGAACGAAGAATCTCCTGTTCCATTTCTGCAGGGACATTCAGTACGGACAAGAAAGAAAACACCAGAAAAAGAGCTATCGCATTGAATAGAGCAGGAGACTCACCAAAAACACAAGGACCATGACACTATTCTAGCGTGTCTATTTCCTGAACATCGAGAAAATGAGTGTCCGTGTAAATTATGACGTCACGATACGATAATTGATGCGGCATGTGCTCGGCAAACCAATATTGAATTCAAAAATTAAATTTCCATGCTAAGACCCTGATCATTAAGCACATGTCATTAGTCATGAGTGAATGTAGAATAAAATTTACCGTTTGCATGAGAGTCAGCCAGATTGACAGAACAGTGTACTATACCGAAAAGGTTTCTATAGATGACTGGCTGATCACGTCTCATCGGCCTTCTTCTAGACACTATCCCGGTGGAGTATTTAATTAAAGTATGAATTTTCGATTACCTTCAGCAGACCCTCCTTCTGCGGGCATTTGGCTAGAAATCCTTCCTTCACCGCGTCCTTCGATCTCCGTGACATTGCCGGTCAACAGAATGATTGCTTCACGCCGCAGCAAAACTATGGCGGAAGAGATAACAAGAAGCAAAGAAATGGTGGTGCCATAGGCAATCATTTAGGACTGACACTTTGTTCGTCAGTTAAGAGTAGAGCCCACACACTCTCTTCCATTAACACTGCAATAATTCAACTCATTTCACAATATGTGAACCTGATAAAGGCAATTTGCCGAAACGTATTATTGTGAAATGAGTTGAATTATTGCAGTGTTAATGGAAGAGAGCGTGTGGGCTCTACTCTTAACTGTAACTATGAAACTGCAGGAAGCCTCCACACTTTTACTTTGTTCTTCGACATTAAATTAACCAATCCAATAACTCACTTAGCTTCCAGTACCAAATAGTGGTGGCGATTTCGGCGATGATTGTTAGGAAAAAGTTTGCTCCCCACAGTGGAGCCCGCGCTATTCGGCCGACTTGACTTGACACTTGACTGACTCACAACTGCCATCCGGAGCACACGGGAAGCCCATCGAACCTTCGACTCGGCAAACCGGCAAGAATGAACCACTTTCTGCTCAATACAAAGTGTGCTGCGAAATTCACCGCTCGTCAGTTGAGCTTGAGTAGGCTGAGGAAGATTGTGCCAAAAGAGCATCACCCCTATAGTGCTCTCCAGGCCCAAACATCACCAGGGATACAAACCTACAGGGACACTCCATTTCCAGCGCGACAAACACCTTGTTAACTTCTTACTCTTTTCCTTGTTAGCCATGGTTGGCTATAAAAACCCTGCAATCGCAACGCAAAGTGGTCATTGGCTACCCCAGCCGTGTATTGCTTGGAATAAAATAAAATAAATAAATAACACCAGATAGCAGCGCGAGTCAGTGTCGTTCCTGGACGGTGAGAACAGATGTCGAGGACCCTCGGTCATTCACACCTCTGCCACCTCCAAATCAGCTAGTTGCAAGCCCTCCTTGGGCACAACAGTACGAAATATTGGTAGCTGGAGCACTATATAAGTGATGCTCTTCAGGCACAATCTTCCTCAGCCTACTCAAGCTCCTACTGATGAGGGGCGAGTTCCCCGAAACACTGTGCATTGATCAGCGAGTGGCACTTTCTTGCAGGTTTGCCGGTCGCAGGTTCGATGGACTTCTCATGTGCTCCGTATGGCAGTCGTGAGTCAGTCAAGTGTCAAGTCAAGTCGGCGAAATAGTGCGATCTCTAGTGTAGGGAGCAAACTCTTTCCTAGCTTCCAGTACAGTTAAAGTATCTATGGGTATAAAACTAGCTAGGTATTAGTGCTAGTGTGAAACCAGTCCCCAATCATGGATTGAGCTCTTACAGGTTACCGCTATTGTCGTGTACACTACTGGTCTCGGATGGAGAGCCAAGGATTAATTTATAGAAAAGAAAAAAGGACAAAGGACCAGTTAGTTGTAGAACGTCAGTACCGTCGGTCAGTGAGCAATGGTGCAATTATTTGTGTGGGTGTCTGTGTGTTCATTGGTGGATGGGCCACGGGGTGGTCAGCGAAAAACTGAGATTTAGCTGTGTGGGTGTCATTGTCTGCCTATACAAGGAAACGCCCATGAACTGATGAACTGAGGTTTCTACAACGTATGCGCATGCATACAGTGCATGCATACAAAAGGAGTGGCGGTATGAAAGCGTGACTTGTTTCTAAACTCAGCCTTCCCTTTGAGTTCTCGGTAGCTCGCTCCGCAGGACCACAGTGGCCAGGCTCGCTCGAAAGTATAATGCGACTGTGAGAATGAACCTCAAAGATGTAGCGGAAGATTCAGCGCAGCCGCCTCTGCGTCGGCGAAAAGAGTCCTTCTCGAGTCGAGGGGCTTACAACATAAGTCATTACTGTGATACAAGTCATGTACACTTCGTTCTCGAATGGTTCATCCTACCTGCCGTCCAGAGTGCGTGCAACCCCCCACCCTGCACGCAAGAAACCAGCGACATTACGAACGTTAGAATGACAGCATGACTGTACACAACTCACGTTTTTGAGGGCGCCAACACCGCGGCCACTCAAGCCTCCTCTCGACCTCTCCCAATGGCAATTCCAGACGGCGAAAGGAAGAAAACTGCACGCAAAGCGGGCAGTTGCTGAGCCTGGCACAGTCACCGGACAAGGGCGATTGCCAATACTAACCTGTTAGTGTTGGAGTTTGATAGCATCCGCAAAGCGGGATAAAGAAACCCAACACTTTACGACCTTTACGAGCGGCCACATGCACATCGATAGAGAACTCCACCACTTAGTCTTCGGTCTGTACTTCGCGTTCGCATGGACGTTTCGCAATACAGTACAAACAGAGCATTTCGCAAACCGAAGTTCTTGCTTTTACGTTTTAGCCTCTTCGTGTGTTCCTTCTCAGGTCACTCTGGTGTTACAGGTACTGAGGTAGCACGAATCAGGTGGTAGACTCTAGCTCTACCGTAGACCATGGTAGACCTACTCATTACACGCATTGCATATTGCGTGGCTGCGAATGGAGAAACAAATCTCTCAATTTTTATCTCGTGACAAGTAGGCAGAGTCACAGCGCTGCACTGCCTCTACAGCTTTGGCCCGGATCTGGTCGCCCCGACTCACGGGACGAGGAAGCGTCGACGGCAAAACAACGCGGCTCCGTTGGCGTCGACGCGTCGTGTCCAAGCCTTGCTTGGCCGCTAGGCCCAGACAGATTCTGCTCCAGTCGCCTCGATATTTTGCGGCAAAATGTTGCTGCGAAATCTTCGATATTTTGCCGAGCCTGGCACAAGAAATTCGATATTTTGCTCCATTTTGCTCCGGAAAAACGTGTATTATATCCACTTCCCGTACAATCCCGTACAACGTTTCATAAAAATCGCAGGGTCGGTTTCTCAACACGGGTTTCAACGCACATGTTCCTGAGTTCTCCCAAAATCAAGTCGATCCACAGTGAATCCCAGAGATATTTCGGTGACATAATCTCGTCCTGGGCAGTGTATCCTGCTGAACGGGTAAGAAACAAGGAAATCCAAGTATCAGGCATCGATTTTACTCGATATTTTGCTCCGATTTTGCCGGCAATTTCCGCTCTTTCAATTCTTCGATATTTTGCCGAAAGAATTGCCGGCAGGATCTGTGTGGGCCTAATGCCAATGGCCGGCCTATGCCAGGTGACTGTACTGTCGACTCACTAGCTTGTTCAACCATGGTACCAGTACCTGTGAGTCTGATCAAGCCGCGGAGCACTACCGCAACTGGCGCAAGCAAGCACGTGATGGTCCGGTACGGTGTATGTGGTTGATTTCTTGAGCCTAGGCTATGACTGTGAAAAATAGGAACTACCGAGCATGAATGCTCACCCCATACGGCCATAGAATCTACGCTCGGTCTAAGCTCAGGAGAACAAGGCAGCCTTGATAGTTGAGATCAAGCCAAAGGAACTAGCTCAGGTGCTAGCGACGTCGGTAAGACTAACATGTACAAGCACCAGGCCAGGAGTCGTGAAAGCCCGTAGCACAACTCCGAGCTCCCTGGCCTTGGATAGCACCATGCGCACACCTACACGCTTACACTTACAGATCCGGGAGGACTATCCGAAGAAGAAAAATTTAATGTCGATCGGTCCTCGTCAAAACTCGACCCGTATACGTATCATTAGACATCAGGCCAAACTAAAGAAGGTGTGTGGTTCGACTCACCCGACCGACCGTACAATTTCAGCCCGACCGTAACTTTTTTTCGGCGGGCTGTCGTGTGACTGACGTACGTGGACTGAACACGTCCACGTCTACGTGCTGTGCGGCGTGAGTCTGCGGACGCAGGCGGCTCCTTTTGGACTTGACTTGTAGTTGTACTGCAGTGCAGTGCAGTGAGTGGTACGACTGCTGCCTTGTGCTGGTAGTAGAGTCTACTCGATACGCGTATACAGTGTATTTACATGTACTAAAAAATATATTAAAAAAAAAAAATCCGCCCGCCCGCCCGTAAAAAAAATGTCCATGTTAGTCGAACCACACACCTTCTTTAGTTTGGCCTCATTACTAATATTACTAGCTTGTCAAGTGACCATTATAATAATTATTATGATGAGGCATATCCGAATGCATGATGACAGGGGGCGAAGATCGAAGCCACGGGAAAGCACCAGGCATTGGCATTAGACGATTAGTAGATTATGGTAGATCCACTCAGTCTCTGGTCCGTGATGTAATCGATACTACCCTCAGATACAAGGTTTATACGACTCTCTGCTCCACATGCGCGATGGTGTCGGGAATTATCTCCGCTGCTTCAACAAATACCTCGCTGTACTGTCAGCGTCAAAGACAAAGAGTATCAACGAAGTTAGTTGTTACTTGAGCAAGCAATCTTTTCTCTTCGCGATCAATCAGGCCTGGTTGCGTCAAAGGCCACCACGTTTTTGCTGCTCTGCCGTAAAGCTACCCGTCTCCTTTGCATTCACTCAATGATTTCTCATTTTCATTCCAGTGGCTGCTGACGGCAGTGTTTAGCCAAGGAAAGGCTCCTGATCGCTACCGGACAGGCACCGAATCTGTAGCCGAAATGCTGACCGAAGAAGAACAGCTGTTCGAATTGAAGCAGTTGATTAACAATAACAGACACCCGATATGTCAGGCATTGAGCAGCATTCGAGACGTTCTAGCCAGCATGGAGATGTCATTGACCGCCGAGGATAGAGAGGAATTGCTGAAGACTCACCTTCTGAAATCCGAGGCCATTGACAAGTTGATCGACAAGATACAACGCCTGGACGATGTCAACGCGTACCGTGCGTTCCTCAGAGCTGCGGCACGGAACAACCCGGGAAGGCTCTTGGAAGATTTTGGCTGGAACAAAAATACATTCTTCAGGAATACCGTTGGAGAAATTTGTAAGAGCATGGCCAAAAGCGAAGAGGTGATAGTTTTCGAACTATTATGGTCCGGATTTTCAAGTGCGATGCAGGATTTCAACTAGGGCTGAGTCGGGTAGCATTTTCTTCAGGTATCGGGTTCGGGTAGTTTTCCACGGGTAGCACGGGGTACCCGATCGGGTAATGGTTCCATGGTAACACCACAATGCACCCCTTCCCTTGCACACTGGGTAGACATGCAAAGTATTACATGAATTTGTACACGTGCACTGTCCATGACGTCATCTGCGACTTCGGGTTTTTTCGGGTACTATTCTGTGCCCGTCTACCCCAGGTCCTCACGGGTAACAGGGTACCCGACTACCCCATGCACACCCCTACATGTCACCATACTGCCTTGCCATCACCTACCCGTACAGTACCAGGTAGATATGCAGTCCATGCACTCTTGCTACACATCTCCACAGCACTGGTGGAGTTGACAACCAGACGTGTGCACAAACACACACACACACATTCACACACGCGCACACATTCACACACACACACACACATTCACACACACAACCTCAATGATAATAGTATAGCTGCATGGATGAGAGTACTCGGTAGGTTGGAAAAGAAACCCAGTCCATACCTTTCTTATCTTCGGTTTGCCGAGGAGGTTTCAATTTGTAAACTTTGGCGTCGACCTTGTTACATGAAGAACGATTTGGAATGATACTCTGATGGTTTCCTGGTGTGTGTGGCAGATTATTTGGACATGCAGTTGTGCGATCTCTCGCCGAATCACCGCGCAAAGCAACTGGTATGCTCTGAGATGACTTGCAAGCAGAATCCGCTGCTGGTGACAACTTGGAGAGACCTGGCTGCCAAGTGCTGTGAGCGGGAGCCGCCACCGGATGTTCAGACTGCCGAGCAGTTCTGGGAGTGGTGGACGACGCTCGCCCGGAGGCCAACCATACACGACCTGATAGGCGGTCTAAGGCAGATCGATCATGTTGCTCTGGCTCAGGTGCTGTGCAGTGAAGACATGTTTGACCTGGTAAGCGGATTATTCTTCGGTGGTTCGACTGTTGACTTGACACCTTTGGCCGCTCTGCTGCTACAAGCAGTGATATCATTCCAAAATCCATAAGATCCGAATCATCAGCCAGTGTGATTATAAGAGGGCTCATAGTTACAGTGCACGCACTTTATCATGTATGTTACAATGCTGATCGGAATCAGATCTATCCTAGAAAACTTCATGGAAACTGCTGGAGATAGACAGAAGCTCTGCCCCTCCAGGTTCTAGGTCATCCTTTAACTTGCCTACAAATCACACCAGTACGTCTTGCCAGTGCTCATCAAGCTTAGACTGAAACCTTTTTCTGTAAAAAACCTTTTTCTGAAAATTTGTAAAGAATCGTAGCACTTTTGTAAGCTAATGTGGCTGTCTATTGGTCTGTTTCTGTTGCTTGCATGGCGCGCCATTGTGATGATTACACCCAGCAATATGTTCCGCCGGCACTTCCGAGTAAGTTTTGCACATGTTTTCCCTAGCTACAGCAAATCGCCCAGCAGCCATTCACAAACCATGCCTTTAAAAAGCGTTCTCGTGGCCTCACTTTATCAAAAAGGATATGATCGCAATGTGACAACATAATCGAAGAGCACAACACGGCAAAGATGGTTAACCATGTACTTGAAGTACCACAATGTGGAAATACCACGTGACAAAACGTCACAAAAGTACACAGTCGTGCTCTTGCTCATATCCAGGTGGCAAATTCGCCCATGTGCTTCGAGATCAGTTCTCCGAAAGCAACTTGTACATGTACTGCCCAACAGTGCTGTATATTGCTCATTCCATTTCCTGTAGGAGGTACGCACGACCTGATCCGGAATGAGATCTACGTCTCCACAGAAAGAGGTAAGCATAGCCACAGATTGGTATCATTGGAGATGATTTTAATCATAAATAAACAAGTGCACAGATGTGTGTGAAGAGGGGGGAGGGTATAGCAATAGCTTTTGATTCGCAGCCGATGTGAAAGGTCCCTATGGTCAAGTGAGTTATGGACATGCGTTGAATTTGTGGAGCATGGTCTGGGAGCGAGAGTGAAGAGAGACTCGCCCACAGTGTACTTTGTGTTGGTTTTGGTCAGGTGTCCTTAACGTACTAGTGTCCTTAACGTACTAGTCTCTATAAATAGTGGTTACAATTTGCAATTTGCCGAAACGTTGAAAAGGATTCTGTGAAATGAAATGAGTTGTGAATTTGCAGTGCCCAGGGAATGAACATGTGTGCTCACCAATTCTCTTCGAGTTATGAAGCTGCAGGATGCCTCACCGCTACTTCGTACCTAAGACTTGGTTATCACTATTCGCCGTTCATGAGTCAATGGCCTTTGTCGTTCTCCTCTTGCACCGTCAGCCTTTAAAAAGAAGTCCAATGCCATACGGATGTACGAGTGAATGAGCCGATGATGTATTTCGGCGGGGCCAGGGGAAAGGCCAACAGTAGAATACTGGATGCATGGCTGATATTGAGTCCCAATGATTGACAGAGAATGCAGTGGCCTACTTGGTCCGACTTATTGAAATGTGCGTTTCGCTTCGAGCGTCAACCAAACAAATTCAAATAATCTCAGGACGGAATAAACTATCCAGCTACCTAACACTATCCTTCAGTTGTCGATTTGTGATGTTGAAGAAGAAATGGCCCCAACTCCAAAGGAGGCAGCGGCTCAGGATCCTAGTCGACTCGAGCATTTTGCGTCCGAATTTTGTCGTCAGAGGACTCCTGTTGCTTCTCGCGCAACACAGAGAAGGCCTGGTGCTGAAATCAACACCCCGCTGCGATGGGAAATTGTCACAGAGTACCAGAAACTCCTAGGCGATCGTTCTCGAGTGCCTCCTGGCGGATTGAAATTGCTGCAGTCGCTGTTTTCTTGGCATAATTTCAGCAAATGCGTTCAGAAACTCGTGCAGAAAGCACCAGCATCGCTCCGTCCAGTTTGCTTATCTCTCTCGCAGTCATTCACGATGTGGCGGCCGACGAATCAAGATCACAGAAGAGATCGTCGAGAAGTTGATCGGAATAAATAACCGCCCTTGAGGTCGACTTGCAGGCGACAACCTGGCTGGAAAATTGAAGCGCAGAAAGGGTGAATTATCCTGCGGATATGGTGCGTGAATGGGGCGGAGTCCTCGGAGCCGCGATCGCGATGCGTCACAAGATCGCCAGTCTCCGGGGCCAGTGGATTCGAGAAACAGGCAGGGAAGAGCACGCATGGTCTGACTGCATGCATGACAGTCAGGTCGACGCAGATCAGACTCAGTACGCGCGCGGCACACGGTGATGAGAAGTGATTTTTTATGCTTGGTGGTTTACTTGTTCGCCTCTTTTTGTAGGTGTCGTGGGAGCGTCAGGCGAAGTCGATCGTCTAAATCGTGCCTATGGAGTGAAAAAATCAAGGAAGCGCAGTGTAGCTTGGAGGAGATGAAAAAACTGTCGACGTTATGCAGGTTGACGCACTTGCAGATGCGCCCTGAGACACCAGCAGCGATGAAAACTACAAGGTCAAGCCAAGAAACGATACAGTAGTTATCTATCTACCGTCTCTTGGTTGATTTTTTAGTACAGGTGTTCCTTTGTATGCTGGAGTTTTGAAGCGAAGCGCACGTTTTAATAAGTCGGACCAAGTAGATGTAGAGGAAGACCAGTTGAGCTTTCATCACGTTTTTGTTACTTCGAAGTAGGAAGCACTTGTCCTATTCTTTTTCTTTTCAGAAAAAAGAGAGTGGTCTAAAGTCATCCGTACCTGCGACAGTGAACGCATTGGCCTTTCAGGCGAAGTAATGATCAGCGTAACCATAAATGCCGTGCAGATTTCTCCTATCCACCTTGGTGAGTTTGCTGCTATTGGACCAATGGACGCTGATATAATATTATTTGCATTCTCCTTCTTTCTGCAGTGGCATGCTGGGTCTGGCAAAGCTGTTATCTTATTATTGATCAGCTGAGATCCATTTGAGAATGGACTCGGATGGAGAGCCAAGGACAAATTTATAGAAAAGAAAAAGGACCAAGGAACTACAAGTTACGCTATAATGTCCACTAACAGCACCAGTTAGTAAACAATCAGCTCATGCGATAACATTTCCCCTCCTATGTTATCTTATAACTTAGAACCTTCCAAGTTGGAAGGCTGTTGGAGTGCGCATCCAAGATGTGCTAGAGCTATTAGCCAGTTAGTTGTAGAACGTCGGTACCGTCGGTCAGTGTTGTGCGATGTACATATATCGCATTAGCTGATGCGAAGTTTTTAGTAACTGGTGCTGTTAGTGGACATTATAGCGTAACTTGTAGTTCCTTGGTCCTTTTTATTTTCTATGAATTCCATTTGTTTGACACTGTTACTATGTGGCACCTTTCACTGTCCTTTCTCTCTCTCTCTCTCTCTCTCTCTCTCTCTCTCTCTCTCTCTCTCTCTCTCTCTCTCTCTCTCTCTCTCTCTCTCTCTCTATCTATCTATCTATCTATCTATCTACTTCAGTATATTTCTATCTATCTATCTTACCATTATTATTTTTTCGGCAACGCAGATGATGATGATGATGATCTATCTCTCTCTCTCTCTCTCTCTCTCTCTCTCTCTCTCTCTCTCTCTCTCTCTCTCTCTCTCTCTCTCTCTCTCTCTCTCTCTCTCTCTCTCTCTCTCTCTCTCTCTCTCTCTCTCTCTCTCTCTCTCTCTCTCTCTCTCTCTCTCTCTCTCTCTCTCTCTCTCTCTCTCTCTCTCTCTCTCTATCTATCTATCTATCTATCTCTCTCTCTCTCTATCTATCTATCTATCTATCTATCTACTTCAGTATATTTCTATCTATCTATCTTACCATTATTATTTTTTCACGCAGATGATGATGATCTCTCTCTCTCTCTCTCTCTCTCTCTCTCTCTCTCTCTCTCTCTCTCTCTCTCTCTCTCTCTCTCTCTCTCTCTCCCTCCCTCCCTCTCTCTCTCTCTCTCTCTCTCTCTCTCTCTCTCTCTCTCTCTCTCTCTCTCTCTCTCTCTCTCTCTCTCTCTCTCTCTCTACTTAACTGTTAGTAGGCGAAATCACTTTACTCTCTCTCTCTCTCTATCCTAATCTCCATGTGGTTTTTTATACTTCTATTTCTCTATTGTCATGAACCATTTGTCTATTTTTCTACTTTGCAGACAAATTGTGGGTCAGCTGGCCTCTGCAACACCTGCGGGAGTACGGTGTAAATAGCGGAGACTTTGGCAAGCAAGTCCTGACGCTCGTGCTGGGTCGAGCAAGTGGAGAGTTTGGTGGCACATTCAAGTTTCAAGTTTCTGACGATACGCTGAAAAAGTGAGCATTAATACTTGTATCTGTTGACTTATGCATCACCACATTGGATACCCAAAAAAAAGAAGAAAAAAAGTAAATTATCGTGTCCGTTCCCGAAGGGAACTCACGACGGCCGCTAACACCCGATAAAGGTATTTGTATACCCAAAGCACATGAAAAGTAGAGGCTGTACAATTGGGCACATTGCACACTCTTCAGAGCCAGTGCAGCTATTTAAGTGGAGATTATCTGCACGCATGCAACGATTCGGCAGACAGGTGTACTATCCAAATCTATCCACGTCATTTTGTGCATCGTTCCCTAACAAAAATATGATAATTTGACTGGAAATGGGTCAGAGTGGGCAGACAGGGCAGACTGGCTGGTAATAACAATGTTAAGTTCTACACTAAACTTGTGTGGCCTTAGAAGGATCTTGGGTAGATTGTTGTTTGAGGTTATAAGAGCGACCTGTGAGTGTTTGTTTGTATGCGCTCGCGTGTGGACAAGTGGAGGGATTATATGCATGCCTGCTGGTGAAGGGGTTGCTTGTATGTGTGATTCGTCTTACACCATGCACCATGCAGGTATGTATGTATGTGTGGGCGGGTGAGTGAGTGTGACATTTATGGATTGTAAAGAAGGCGTACCGTAATTCCGCGCATATAAGCCCATGGGCCTATATCCGGATATAAGCCCACCTCCGTTTTTTAGCCCGTGGGCTAATAAACAGACACAAATTCAACTCACGTGTCAAGTAGAGTTTTTCACAAAATGGACTCTTCCTACCATGGTACAGCAGGTCAGTGCAGTTTACCAGTAGAGTATGGAAGACCCATTATGAGCGCGGACTTGTACTTTTTCGTGAACCTTCAAAATTCGAATATTGGCCCATGGGCTAAAAATCGAACACGTTTTACTGGATATTTTATCCCCAAACTGCATTATTTCGTATATAAGCCCATGGGCTTATATGCGCGGAATTACGGTATAAGTCATTCCTCCTGCTTCAAGCCATTCCGAACATTACTTTCATTATTAATAATATTAATAATTTTGGTAAAAAAGAAGGATTAAATGTTACGAATCGACTCGGATGGAGAGCCAAGGTTTAATTTATACAAAAGAGAAAGGACCAAGGAACTACAAGTTACGCTATACTGTCCACTAACACCACCAGTTACTAAACAATCAATCATGAGCTGATTGTTTAGTAACTGGTGGTGTTAGTGGACAGTATAGCGTAACTTGTAGTTCCTTGGTCCTTTCTCTTTTGTATAAATGTTACGAGTTATGACTAACTGTCCACCAACGTAACCAGATCATATACAGTCAGCGAGTGCGACTAAATGGCACAAAACTGACAAGGAGTACTGAGACATTCGACACATTCTCGCACTCGCTGACTATATGATCTGGTTACGTTGGTGGACAGCTAGTCATAACTCGTAACATTTTGTCCTTCTTTTACCAAAATTATTAACAATGTCATTCTCCTTTTGGTACCATAATTAAAGGCAAGTTCGATTGGTAAGGATCGGGATCGGGATCCAGATCTCCGATCCGTCAGATCCTTCAGAGTCAACTGAACACTTTATTTTGGACCTTGACTGTTGCCATGTTGACGAAGTACAAATGTAATAAAAGTGGCGCTCACAAGTCAGTCACCCAAAAGGGTGAAAGCCGTACTCATCGCGTGCGCCGTACAAAAGTCAACAAGCCCTATCTCGATCCACGTGTGCCTACCACAATGTGTACAAAAATGATTTTTACCCGCCATATACGCACAAAGGTCACATTTGGATCCGTTGGATCAGGCCAACCCTGCTCCCTGAGGTGGGTTGACCGGATCCAAATCCGAAGGATCCAGATCCGGATTCGACCAATTGAAAGGGTGCGAATCCAGTGGATCCCATGGATTGGGATCCCAATCCTACCAATTGAACACGCCCTAACTCGGCTAACCATCTGATTTAAAGGGGAAGTTAAGGCAAAAATTAAAATTTCACCAGTTGTAGTCTTCGGGGTGCTGAGTCGAATGGCCTTGGTCCGAGAAAGCTGAGACGCTCCCTTCCTACTTGAATCCCAATCGAACTCGCACACTTCCACCGAAACTGGGTGACTGCGCCCTACTAGATGGGGATTTGTATGCAAAATGTCACTAAAAGCGCCATTTCGTTCTTATAAAAGCACGGATGACCGCGATTGGCCCATATGTTGTAGTCTTTTGGACGCTGAGTCGATTGGTTTTGGTCCGAAAAGGCTGCGATGCAGCGTTCCTCCTTTATTCCCAATCGAACATGGTTGAACAAGCGGTCACATTCTCCTGCGTACACCAGTCACCTGGTCACCGTGCCTGCAGGGTACAACTTACTAGCCTGTTTGACCTTTTTTGGGTGCAGTCCTGTCACTCGAGTTGAACTCGAGTTGAACCTTGGTGTGAAATTTGTCGCCTGCTGGCGTGGTGACCAGGTGATTTGGGCACCCAGGAGCACGTGACCGCTTGTTCAACCATGTTCGATTGGGAATAAAGGAGGAACGCTGCATCGAAGCCTTTTCGGACCAAAACCAGTCGACTCAGCGTCCAAAAGACTACAACATATGGGCCAATCGCGGTCATCCGTGCTTTTATAAGAACGAAATGGCGCTTTTAGTGACATTTTGCATACAAATCCCCATCTAGTAGGGCGCAGTCACCCATTTTCGGTGGAAGTGCGCGAGTTCGATTGGGATTCAAGTAGGAAGGAAGCATCTCAGCTTCCTCGGACCAAGACCATTCGACTCAGCACCCCGAAGACTACAACTGGTGAAAATTTTAATTTTTGCCTTAACTTCCCCTTTAAATTTTAAAATAAATTTGTTCTTTTTTAAAACATTTATCTGTGCATGTCAGCTAAACTATGACATGTATAATGTGTTGATATTGTTGCTAACTGTTGTGAATCCTCTGGTTCTCTAAAGTGTCAGGAACGAACGACCCCACACGGCACGAGGACAACTATTTATTCTCAACAGTATATTTCACTTCCATCGACTAATAACAATGAATGAATGAATGAATGAATGAATGACACTAAAACCACCAGGTAGTTATAGCGTGAAAATGACAGCGTATATGAGAAAAGCATACACATACAACATACAACTACAGCGCACACAGCAAACCGCACATAGCGCATGTAGCGTATACTACGTCGTAATCATCAGCGGTACGGCGGAGTCGGGATACAACTGCATTGAAACGAACACAATGTCACAAGCGAGAAGGCCTTTCACTCTCGAGAACTTGTGGTTTCACAACACTAACTGTACCATACTCGTGATACATGCTCCTTCTGTTCACCCATATTGACTGGTTTTGTGCACGGTTATCAGCAGTGGGTCATGCTGTACGGTCATGTAGAGGGAGGCAGCACAAGATCATGGCGTGTATACCCGGAACGATGTGCGTTTTCATCCCTGTTATTTGCAAGCTCTGCGTGATCTGTGCTCTACGCAACACACGATAACGGTCTTGCCCTACTGACCCAAGTGCGGCCCAAACAAGCGATGGCATATGCAAGTGTGTATACATCGGCCCTGCCCCAAGGATAACTGGACCAGGAAACCGGGCAGCAAAACCCACATTGTTTAGCATTACTATCACCAGTGTCGTCAACCTGGTTCACAAAATAATGTTCTGAAAGTTCAATATGGGCTGAAGGTTCAAGGTCTTTGCCCTGTTTTCGCTGTACAAGATTAGTTACAGCCGAGGGAAAGTCCCTACGTAATGAGTTGAATATGAGGCTGCCGAAGTTGTACACTTCACTTTTATCTTCACTGCTGTCCTGTGTGTGTGCGTGCGTGCGTGCGTTTGTGTTGCTTTCTGTCTTCCCTGCCCGGTCATGGTCAGCGTGATAACGAGCAATGCCGCCAAGCATGCCAGGCTTGTCAGACAAGCTGCACCTGCGCTAGCCGTACAAGCCGTTGACCCTGGGATAGGCGATGTCATCTATCAACGCTGCTCTGGGATGCCTCGCTGGGATGCAAGGCCACATTCTAGGCGACTGTCAGCTACGGATACTCCGCCAAAGCGCCCACTCGGAGAAATTAGATCCTGCTCCTCACCCAAGCTGTCTCGTAGTGTCTTTCCCCTGCAACCCAGTACAGCTGCGGCACCTCCCCTTCCTCCGAGGCCAGACCGCGGCTCTCCTCGACCGCCTCCCCGACCTCCAAAGCCATGATCATGAATAATTATGGTGTAAGGGCAATCTATTGCCAGGGTATTTTGGCACTTGATTTCGTGCCCCCCCCCCCCCCCCCAACAGACACTGTTCTTACACTGGTCATGCCTTGTAATGCATGCAGAGCTAGATGCGACTCATCAGTCTTGGTCCTGCTGAGCAACTGTCATCACATGATGCATTCAACTCGGGCGGACAGGTAATATCGCTTCGGCAAAACCTTACACAGGATTAACACTTTGTCGGCAAACCGGGTGCGCATTTCCCATACGGGCTGTACAACATACCACCGTCTGCAGTTGTTCCTGGTTTGCTTGTAGTGTGCAGGGAATGATCACACAGTGGCTACAACGTGCTGCTTCAGGCAATACATGTTTGCAAATTGTCACATGTTGTTGTGTCTTGGTCCCAGTGTCGCCTAGATAAGAATGTCTGCTGCCCACTTTGCGAATACAATAGTGCGACTCTCATGTTGTCAATGAGGTGGCGGTTCCAAACGTTGGAACTTGTGCTTGCTGTGCACTGCCTTCCCGCCGACTCCCCCCTAGATTAACTCAGGGATGCCATCTGGAGCACAGGAGAAGCATGCCTAGTCTTCCTTTGTGCTGCCTTCTCGCATGCCATGTGGAAAGTTTGACATGCTTCCCGCGTGTTCCACCGGCGGTATGGCAGTTTTGTTTAAAAGCCCATGTCAGTGCTAGCCAACTGCTAGGCTTCTACTGAAGCCAGGCCGCAAGTTCTCTGATTCGAACCAGTTATTTCTATGTATGTCAGCACTAATATCAGGCATATGTGCCGCCAGTGCATCTTGAAAACCAGGCTTTCATTCAAAACAGGCTTATATACGAGACAGACCTTAATACAAGACCCTGGAGTATCTGCACTGAACGTCTTGGGCACCTAGTCACAAGACGATAATACAGTCGTCCCTCTTTAATCCGGCACTTTATAATCCAGCACCCTCGATAAACCAGCACAATTTTCAGTAGCCAAATGTCCTCTTCATGCACATTGCAGCAGTAGATCAGATTTGTTAATCCAGCACCCTCCCTAATCCAGCAGATTTCCGTGGCACAAATGGTGCCGGATTATAGAGGGACCACTGTAGTATGTTGGGTTTCAGAAGCTAATAAAAACAACAACAACAACAACAACAACCACAACAGCAACAACAACCACAACAGCAACAACAACAACCACAGCAGCAGCAACAACAACAACTCTTATTGGCCACTGGCTATCGTGAGAATAAAGATTTGAAACAACAACAAAATTACTGTAGCTCAGCTTGTCCGGAGCATTAATTGCTCGCCAATAGCGAGGGCCCTGGTTTGGGAGATTTTTCTATTTCTTTCATGTCTGGTCTGCAAGTGTTGAGTTTCGGAGAGAAAAGAGCGGAAGACAGGTGGCCCAGTTTCCTATTAAAGTTGATAGCAATGAAAATACTTTGCAGTGATTTTCATCATTTCAACTTCACACAGAGCAACCACGTTTCCTTGCAACTGCATGTATCATGAGTGGAATAATTACGTCATAACTAGTCAGTGTCATGAAGGACAGGGCGGATAGACGAGTAAATAGGTCAGGTGTAAAAATGGTTCAGACAAAATTTAATGATAATGGCGGTGGAAAAAATATCCTCAAGGATTAAGATGCAGACACGAATCCTAATGAAAGGTGGTGGGAGGTGTGTAAATCAGACCCATTCAAGGACCAACTTTGGCCGGCCTAGTGTGCCATCTAATTGAAATTCTCACAATATCCCGTATTCACCACACTTTCAGGCGCATCCAAGAGTATTCTCCATCTCTCTCATACGGGCTGCACGTCTATGCATGGTAGAGGACATACTTTGTAGTAGATACATTGTGCTGTACGTGAGAGAATAGGTCAGAGACCATGCTTGAGTAGCAATTCTCCTACACTTGCCCCCCAGAGGGCTCAATAAAGAACGAAGTACGCATTGCTCTGAAGAAAACCTGCATTGGAATGTTGCAAGCCATGCCGTCTCATGCTCAGTCGCCTTCTTCTTTGCCTGATTCAGTGGTCTCACACTCTTCCTCTTGCCTGGGAAGCCATTCCCGCAACTTTGATATGCTCTCATAATGATGTCCACTGAGTCTGTCATGATCAGGGGCGCTTGAGGTCGACGGTCGAGGAGAAGGCTGTGGCCCATCTTCGGAGCAAATCGATGCTCCGGACAGTGTGCGCCTCATTCTGTTCTGCTCAGACTGAGGCCACTGTTGTACTGTTTCACAATCAAGAGGCATAACAGTGGTCCAAACAACAATAGGCCACCGCATCAAGTCATACCGTTTTATCCTGATTACTGGCCCTTCGATCCCAAACGTATGGTGCATATCGGAAAAGGTTTCGCAGTGAAGAAACTGCTTGGTGGGTGATTGCTAAGAGGCGGGTCCAATAGGTAAATGCCCAACAACAGGCTGAGATTGAGCCGCGGCATGTTTTCAGACTTCAAAAGAAGTAGTAGACAAAGAGGTTGGGCCCAAAAGGGAAGATGCACAAAAATCACTCATTCACCAGTTTGAGGGAGTTGGAAATGGGAAAATTCTGAAAATTGACTGTCACCACCAGGACTTGAACCAGGGACCCTCGCTTACGGCCAGCAATGCTCTACCTGTAAGAAGCTATGGTGTATTTATCATCCCAGCAGCGACCGTTCAACATTCTCCCTCCCGCCGTGTCGCGGATCAAATAATAGTAATATGCATGAAAGGATCGACATTAGTTCATGTGTGGGAAAGCCCCCCCCCCCCTTGATCACTATCCTGACTATGCCCCTGTATACAGGGTGTGAAATCCAGCTTGACACCACGGCTGTGTATGTGAAGAGCTGTGAGAGTAGTGCTTCAGTCCTGGATTGATTGCCTGCGCGGTGGAGTTCCTACGGATGTGGAAACGGCTCAGTCCGATTGACTCTAACAAGAACTGTGTCTTACAGTGACTTGCATGTTTTCTATTTTCGACTGCCTGAGAACTCACCATTTTCATAAGAACTTCCATGGGATAAGGTGAACATTCGTTTGCAATGCGGACAACTGCTGGTAACTATGGCACACATTGGGGGAAAGAAAGCATTGCTTGAGCGAGAAGTGAAGTCAGATGTCAAGCCAATAATAATTGGAGAACAGACTGGTCAAGTGCAAAGCAACAGCCTTCAAACTGTTACTTGGAGGGTGTGTTCAGCTAGACATATTGAACAGAGGAAGACAGTCCATGTAAGCGTAGTAAAACCAAACTCTTGTAAAATCTCATACAGTGCATGGCACGGAATGCTGGCAGCCACTGGATGATGATTAGACACGCATACGCAATGTGCTTAGCTTCGGGAACAACAGCACTGCATACTGTAACGTGCATATCGGGAATAACACTGCATTTCAAGTTCAATCCGCTTTGCCATGGCACTGCATAAAACTGCGACAAACAATTGCAATGCAGACCATTTTGAAGAAAAAGCGGTATCTAATTTCCCGTTGTTTTCGGTTACAACTGCTGGACCAGCTTGATATTAATTGCTAGTGCAGTAATAACCTAAGAAAGGGTTTGCTCCCCACACCGAAGCTCGCGCTATTCCAGTAATAACCTAGTCCTAAATTAGTTTGTGAATGGCAGTTCGGGCCCAATGGCTAAGCCACTAGTTAGCGCCCTCCAACATGTTGAGCACTAACAACCCAGAGGGCTATCCCTGCCAAGCCGTGGGGCCCTTGCTGCCATTCACCAACCTCCGACTGCCCCCTACCTGCCCCCTACCTGCCCCCTACCTGGTCTTTCCATAGTAAAGTAATTCTGGTATGCGCTTGTCTCGGAAGAGATGCTCCCGGTTTTACTCTGGCGGCGGTGAAGAGAAGCTTCTACAACAGAATGATTACACGGGAGCAAACAAGACGGAGAGTACGGGCAGGGTTATGCTAGTGTGCCATGTACTCACGTACACCGTATACTTGTTGCCGTGAAAAGCCTAGCTGCAGAGCCATGTAGTACTGTCGGAGCGCCGAAGAACGACCAGGCTAGACTTTGACCAAGCACAGCATACCAATGTAACTGTGCATAGACTGTAATATGTATTATTATGTGCCATGAAGTGGAGACGATAAATAAATAAATAAATAACATTTAAACTCGGATACTGAGCCAGTAATAAAATGTAAAAAAGAGAAGAAACACATGAGAGCGAGTTATGCAGCAACTATTCACGACTGTAGCAAGATGATAAGCGGTCAGAAAGTGCGATAATAGGGCACAGAACTGACAGGCTACTGAGACATTCAGCGACCCAAGACCTAGCTCTAACACATCTCCAGTGCGCAAACCAACACCCTTCCAACAGCCTTCCAGTCATGTTATTAACTGGTCTTGTCATCGTCCTGTAACAGTCGGCATTCTTTGTTGCCGCGGAACTTAGCTTGCGCACATTTTTGCTGCGCTCACCTTCCCCTCTTCGGTCCTACGTAACCATGAACCTTCCAAGTTGGAAGGCTGTTGGTTTGCGCACTGGAGATGTGTTAGAGCTAGGTCTCGGGTCGCTGAATGTCTCAGTAGCCTGTCAGTTCTGTGCCCTATTATCGCGCTTTCTGACCGTTTATCATCTTGTTACAGTCGTGGATAGTTGCTGCATAACTCGTTCTCATGTGTTTCTTCTCTTTTTTTACATTTTTTAAAATAAATAATACATGAAAATAAGAACGGTCTCGGCTAAGAGGCTGACCCCCCCCCCCCCCCCTCCCAGTTCTTCGGTGACCGACACTACTGTAATAGATCTTCACTTTTCGCTTTTTGAAATTGAAAATGGCCACAAGAACAACTAACCTAGTTGCTTGTCAACGAGAAAGCCACTTGGGCCAATGCTTGCGTCTGGATCAACTGAGGACATGCTCACTTGGCTTGTTCTGCTGTGAAAATCCATTGCTGCGGTGCAAGACAGATGGAACGAAGGAAGCGGAAATGGGAAAACAGAGAGCAGGCGTAAACACAAATTGTATATGTGTGTTAGTCTGCAACAATAGTGATGGTTCGCAAGTCACAACAGTATTATTATCAGGAAAAAGCAGGTAAACATACTAGGTTTCCTAAGAAGAACGGACTATAGGCGTAAGCAGTGCAAGGTCGTTTTGAGAATAGACGACCTAAACTGCCATTCGAAGTTGCCGAGAGCTCTGATCGGTTGAGCATGGCAGGACTCGACCAGCACCATCTCACCCCATGCTAGGGCCATGTGCCTACCAGTGAGTTGTGTGTCTTGTAAAAAATAAAATAAAATAAAATAAAAGCAAGCAGAAGTTGACACCTGGGGTGGCTTGTCATGCTCAGTTCACAACAGCTGAGCCAACAGGAGAGTGTATGCGTTCCTGAAATAACGTTACTAACACTAATACACCATGTAAGTTGTTGTCATTTTTTTCATTTCAGTCATTCCCTGTGTAATCCTGAAGAGAAGGGAATGAAAGCACTTGATATCTGATATGAAGTGTCTTCTGGACTGGATGTGTTAATTGTGCGGAACATGCGAACTTGACTTTGTTCTAGAAGAATTCATTTTTTCGCCTCCCGACATCTGTTATAATACGCCATGTGATATTCTTTGACTGGTTCAGTCTCTCTGTGCATGCCAGTATGGTTCACATAGTATCTCAAAACTTCGATAACATCAACTAAGACATGCAGTGGAGGTCTGCAAACACTATTTACAACATGCAGTGAATGGTCTACAACTGCCCCCTACCTGCCCCCTACCTGCCCCCTACCTGCCCCCTACCTGGTCTTTCCATAGTAAAGTAATTCTGGTATGCGCTTGTCACGGAAGAGATGCTCCCGGTTTTACTCTGGCGGCGGTGAAGAGAAGCTTCTACAACAGAATGATTACACGGGAGCACACAAGACAGAGAGTACGGGCAGGGTTATGCAAATACACGGGAGCAAACACGACAGAGAGTACGGGCAGGGTTATGCTAGTGTGCCATGTACTCACGTACACCGTATACTTGTTGCCGTGAAAAGGCTAGCTGCAGAGCCATGTAGTACTGTCGGAGCGCCGAAGAACGACCAGGCTAGACTTTGACCAAGCACAGCATACCAATGTAACTGTGCATAGACTGTAATATGTATTATTATGTGCCATGAAGTGGAGACGATAAATAAATAAATAGATAATATTTAAACTCGGATACTGAGCCATTAATAAAAAAAATGTAAAAAGAGAAGAAACACATGAGAGCGAGTTATGCAGCAACTATCCACGACTGTAACAAGATGATAAACGGTCAGAAAGTGCGATAATAGGGCACAAAACTGACAGGCTACTGAGACATTCAGCGACCCGAGACCTAGGTCTAACACATCTCCAGTGCGCAAACCAACACCCTTCCAACAGCCTTCCAGTCATGTTATTAACTGGTCTCGTCACTCGTCCTGTAACAGTCGGCATTCTTTGTTGCCGCAGAACTTAGCTTGTGCACATTTTTGCTGCGCTCACCTTCCCCTCTTCGGTCCTACGTAACCATGAACCTTCCAAGTTGGAAGGCTGTTGGTTTACGCACTGGAGATGTGTTAGAGCTAGGTCTCAGGTCGCTGAATGTCTCAGTAGCCTGTCAGTTCTGTGCCCTATTATCGCGCTTTCTGACCGTTTATCATCTTGTTACAGTCGTGGATAGTTGCTGCATAACTCGTTCTCATGTGTTTCTTCTCTTTTTTACATTTTTTAAAATAAATGATACATGAAAATAAGAACGGTCTCGGCTAAGAGGCTGACCCCCCCCCCCTCCCCTCACTCCCAGTTCTTCGGCGACCGACACTACTGTAATAGATCTTCAATTTTCGCTTTTTGAAATTGAAAATGGCCACAAGAACAACTAACCTAGTTGCTTGTCAACGAGAAAGCCACTTGGGCCAATGCTTGCGTCTGGATCAACTGAGGACAAGCTCACTTGGCTTGTTCTGCTGTGAACATCCATTGCTGCGGTGCAAGACAGATGGAATGAACGAAGCGGAAATGGGAAAACAGAGAGCAGGTTCCATGGGATAAGGTGAACATTCGTTTGCAATGCGGACAACTGCTGGTAACTATGGCACACATTGGGGGAAAGAAAGCATTGCTTGAGCGAGAAGTGAAGTCAGATGTCAAGCCAATAATAATTGGAGAACAGACTGGTCAAGTGCAAAGCAACAGCCTTCAAACTGTTACTTGGAGGGTGTGTTCAGCTAGACATATTGAACAGAGGAAGACAGTCCATGTAAGGGTAGTGAAACCAAACTCATGTAAAATCTCATACAGTGCATGGCACGGGATGCTGGCAGCCACTGGATGATGATTAGACACGCATACGCAATGTGCTTAGCTTCGGGAACAACAGCACTGCATACTGTAACGTGCATATCGGGAATAACACTGCATTTCAAGTTCAATCCGCTTTGCCATGGCACTGCATAAAACTGCGACAAACAATTGCAATGCAGACCATTTTGAAGAAAAAGCGGTATCTAATTTCCCGTTGTTTTCGGTTACAACTGCTGGACCAGCATGATATTAATAATATTGCTAGTGCAGTAATAACCTAAGAAAGGGTTTGCTCCCCACACCGGATCTCGCGCTATTCCAGTAATAACCTAGTCCTAAATTAGTTTGTGAATGGCAGTTCGGGCCCAATGGCTAAGCCACTAGTTAGCGCCCTCCAACATGTTGAGCACTAACAACCCAGAGGGCTATCCCTGCCAAGCCGTGGGGCCCTTGCTGCCATTCACCAACCTGCGACTGCCCCCTACCTGCCCCCTACCTGCCCCTACCTGGTCTTTCCATAGTAAAGTAATTCTGGTATGCGCTTGTCACGGAAGAGATGCTCCCGGTTTTACTCTGGCGGCGGTGAAGAGAAGCTTCTACAACAGAATGATTACACGGGAGCACACAAGACAGAGAGTACGGGCAGGGTTATGCAAATACACGGGAGCAAACACGACAGAGAGTACGGGCAGGGTTATGCTAGTGTGCCATGTACTCACGTACACCGTATACTTGTTGCCGTGAAAAGGCTAGCTGCAGAGCCATGTAGTACTGTCGGAGCGCCGAAGAACGACCAGGCTAGACTTTGACCAAGCACAGCATACCGATGTAACTGTGCATAGACTGTAATATGTATTATTATGTGCCATGAAGTGGAGACGATAAATAAATAAATAGATAATATTTAAACTCGGATACTGAGCCATTAATAAAAAAATGTAAAAAAGAGAAGAAACACATGAGAGCGAGTTATGCAGCAACTATCCACGACTGTAGCAAGATGATAAACGGTCAGAAAGTGCAATAATAGGGCACAGAACTGACAGGCTACTGAGACATTCAGCGACCCGAGACCTAGCTCTAACACATCTCCAGTGCGCAAACCAACACCCTTCCAACAGCCTTCCAGTCATGTTATTAACTGGTCTCGTCACTCGTCCTGTAACAGTCGGCATTCTTTGTTGCCGCGGAACTTAGCTTGCGCACATTTTTGCTGCGCTCACCTTCCCCTCTTCGGTCCTACGTAACCATGAACCTTCCAAGTTGGAAGGCTGTTGGTTTACGCACTGGAGATGTGTTAGAGCTAGGTCTCAGGTCGCTGAATGTCTCAGTAGCCTGTCAGTTCTGTGCCCTATTATCGCGCTTTCTGACCGTTTATCATCTTGTTACAGTCGTGGATAGTTGCTGCATAACTCGTTCTCATGTGTTTCTTCTCTTTTTTACATTTTTTAAATAAATGATACATGAAAATAAGAACGGTCTCGGCTAAGAGGCTGACCCCCCCCCCCCCCTCACTCCCAGTTCTTCGGCGACCGACACTACTGTAATAGATCTTCAATTTTCGCTTTTTGAAATTGAAAATGGCCACAAGAACAACTTACCTATTTGCTTGTCAACGAGAAAGCCACTTGGGCCAATGCTTGCGTCTGGATCAACTGAGGACATGCTCACTTGACTTGTTCTGCTGTGAACATCCATTGCTGCGGTGCAAGACAGATGGAATGAACGAAGCGGAAATGGGAAAACAGAGAGCAGGCGTAAACACAAATTGTATATGTGTGTTAGTCTGCAACAATAGTGATGGTTCGCAAGTCACAACAATATTATTATCAGGAAAAAGCAGGTAAACATACTAGGTTTCCTAAGAAGAACGTACTATAGGCGTAAGCAGTGCAAGGTCGTTTTGAGAACCTAAAGTGCCATTCGAAGATGCCGAGAGCTCTGATCGGTTGAGCATGGCAGGTCCGACCAGCACCATCTCACCCCATGCTAGGGCCATGTGCCTGCAGGTGAGTTGTGTGTCTTGTGAAAAATAAAATAAAATAAAAGCAAGCAGAAGTTGACACCTGGGTTGGCTTGTCATGCTCAGGTCACAACAGCTGAGCCAACAGGAGAGTGTATGCGTTCGTTTGTAGAGGTGAGCCAACAGGAGAGTGTATGCGTTTGTAGAGGTTCCTGAAATAACGTTAGTAACACTAATACACCATGTACGTTGTCATTTTTTCATTTCAGCCATTCCCTGTGTAATCCGGAAGAGAAGGGAACGAAAGCACTTTATATCTGATCTGAAGTGTCTTCTGGACTGGATGTGTTAATTGTGCGGAACATGCGAACTTGACTTTGTTCTAGAAGAATTCATTTTTTCGCCTCCCGACATCTGTTATAATACGCCATGTGATATTCTTTGACTGGTTCAGTCTCTCTTTGCATGCCAGTATGGTTCACATAGTATCTCAAAACTTCCATAACATCAACTAAGACATGCAGTGGAGGTCTGCAAACACTATTTACAACATGCAGTGAATGGTCTACAACTGGCATACAATTCTTAGTACGCCATTGTCACAAAGCCTCATTATACTCCAGAACGTGCCACTTGCCATTCATGCACTATGATCACTAGCCCAGTCGTCGCCTAATCCGTTCGGATATGGAATTCTGACGTGTCGAAGCTGCATGCATGCACGCGCATGGTGCGCGTTTCCGGAAAAGAAAATACATGCACCATGGATGGTATGACCTCTACCGGTAGCTGTTTCATGATAAGATGTGTACGTGTGCAGTAGAGACTTGAATGCACCTGCTACTGTACTACCTACAGCAAAAATAGCATAACTCGAGCCTATCATACATCACTATGAGCTGTACCATAAAGTTAACAATATTAGATCTAAAACTAATAAAAGAAACACTAATATTTTTTAGATTTAATGTTGTTCACTTTACGGTACCATACATATCTTTCCTGGGTTGTCCAACTATGAGATGTCACTGATGTACTGTACAAGCCATTATTCTAACGAGGCACATATATAACGATTCCCTAAAATTGACTGGTTTACGCGAACAAAACGTAACGATTCTGACTCATTCTCAACGCTCAATAGCAACAGTATTGTATCGATTTCTGTGTAACGAGTTCTATTTTAACGACAGATTTCTCCTCGTTAACTCGTTAGAGTTAGCACTTCGTTTTATTATGGCTCTTACAGTATTGCAACCGTAGTGTCACTGTGCAGACGACACACAGCTGTTCCCTGTGGAAATATTCAGAAACAAAGAGCATGTATGCATTGGGGAATTTGAGTTCTTGCATTTCTTGCCGACAGTTACATGTTTCGAGTCGGCGCCTGAGAGATTATGGTTAATCAGCATGAGTGTGACATACGAACCGTGATAGGCGTAACAGGGTTCCAGGCCAGCACTTGATCCGTTCTGCTTTGCATCAAGTAGAGCAACTACACGGAGCAAACACATGAAAATAAAAAAAGGAAATGGGAGAGCGGCAGCAGTAATGGATCAAATCAAATCGAACCCAGTGATAAAAGTGAATAGAATAGCTGGCGAAAAAGGAGGACAGAATGTTACGAGTTATGACTAACTGTCCACCGACGTGACCAGATCTTTTACAGTCATTTTGTATACAGTGATTTTTTCCTCCTTTTTCACCATAATTTTATTGGCTCACCATCCGAGTTAAAGAATAGCCGGCACTTACCCTTTTTGATGGGGTTCAAGAGGAAAATGCGTTCATCATTGTAGATCAGAGGACGCTTTTGCTTTACACACTTGTCCAGAATGCCACAAATCGACATATTCTCCAGCAGAGGGTTCTCAAATTCGGCCTGCAGGGTTGAAAGGAGAAAAGCCACGGTACAGGGGGTAGCACTGGTGTGCATGGTCTTCCGGCAGATTGAAAAACGGTACGCACCAAAACTACCTGATAGATGGGTCAGAAAGCAGGTGCAGTGAGGCGCAATGGCAGGCGTAATGCTACGAAAAGTTCCATGCTTTGAATCAAGTGCATAACTGCACAAATAACTGATGGTTATAACTGTAAGTGTGGATATACTCACACCGAGATTATCCGGACACCGGGGGAGTTACGGGGACTTCGGTCTACCGGGCACCCTTTGGGTGAGCTGTAGTGGAAATAATACTACTGTTTTATTACTTTTAGTGACCTCACAATCACATGCCGTATCCCTGGCCTTTACTTGTACCTATTAAAACATACCATATTTTCCGGAGTATACGTAGCAATGCAAACACTCATAATTCATCCAAAAAAGTCTTATAGCACAATATGTAAAGAGAAAAGGACCTATAAGTTACAGGTTATGACTAACAGTCCACCAAGGTAACCAAGGTAACGAGATAATAATACAGTCAGATAGCATAACATACAGTCGGATAGCATTCACGCCGGAACTGCTGCTGCTGCATAGCCCCAAGTCTGAAGACTTGGCAACTTCACGCCTGCATCTGACTCTTGCGCTATGATACGCGCCGCCTATGACACCCCTCAGAATTTCCCACGTTGCTCACCCTTATGTTCTGGCTGCCCGTTTTGGATCCATCAGTTGCCTGATGATCGTAGTAATACGTGAAACTCAGAGTTGTAACAAAGCTTCCAATCTCCCTCTTGTGTACAGTCAGATAGTGCGACAACAAGGCACAGAAACTGACTTTTCTCTTTACATTTTCTCTCAACATCCCAGTTTTTGTACCGCAATGGTCAAATTAACCGTGGTGTACAGGGGATACTTGTATGACTGTATTAACTATTTGCTGACAAAGAAAATCTGCGTGCGGCATAAACTCCTGTGCGGCTTCTACTCCTGAAAATAGTACATGTGGTTCCAAGCTACGGACAGTTCAAAGTTACGGACAGTGCCCGGTCCCCACTGCCTGGATAAACAAGATGCAGGGGTGTAGGAAGCAGTTTAATATTGGTGCGGCGAAATTGTGAGAGGGGGGTCCGGGGGTCCTCCCCCGTGGATTTTTTTGAAAATTGGGCCTAAAAGGCCATATTTTAATGCTACAGAATATGAGAAATAATGTTACGGAGGTAGCCTCAATTGAAGTATTATTCGTTCTCGTTCTGCTTCTTTGAATGTTGCTGAACAGTTTTCCTCTCCATGCTCTGCTAAATCGTTGCCTGTACGCGCCACGTCTAGCGCCTTGTTTCTACGCTAGCACTTAGCACCTTATTCGTCATCACGCGCTCTTCTTGTATGTGCTGGGTGTTGGTGTAGAGGCAAGGTGTTAGATGTGGCCGCCGCTCTTGCTATATAGTTCATTGGAGCGTAGGCACAGTTGTTGTTTTTCCAGAGTTCTGCTTGTGATGGTATTCTTCTGAATGGTCGTCGAAGTAAATCTGAGTATGGTTCAAGACAGTTAGTTGCCTTTTGAGAGTATCTCTGGGTTTATGAGCCACAAATAAGAATATGCATGCTGATGATACACCGCATTGTCGATGTAAAACATGGTACCTGTACAAGAGTCGACAAGCCATCAACAAGGTTGAAATGTAAAAAATAAATATAAAAATTCAAAAACTATTGGTCCGGCGACCGCCGGGCCTGCCGGACCGGTTCCTACGCCCATGTTATAAGATTATCAATAACATGGACTCTTTTCAGCCTTTCACCAAAGGACATTAGACGTCAGTTACGAAAGACTTTTTTACATTCCTTCTTTGTGATTTTTTCCTTTCCATATTTTAGTGTTTTGTCTCTTTAGGAAAGCTGCCCTTATTGCGCATGGACAAGCAAAGCCACAGCTGGACAATACCTGGCCATAGCGACACAGTAGACGGTCACGGATGATCCTCTCTTTCCACCGTGCACTGAGAAAGCAGAGATTGCGGACGCCAAACTGTGTCGTAACCAGAAAGTCGCCGTCGTTCTCCAGCAGCCGGTCGACATCACCGGGGAGCAGGTGACCGTGTTGCCACGGAGCGGCCTGTAGCTCCTCCATGTTCTCTTCTGCATGAGGTCATGTGTGTGAGGTCATGTGTGTGAGGTCATGTGTATGAGGTCATGTGTGTGAGGTCATGTGTATGAGGTCATGTGTGTGAGGTCATGTGTATGACGTCATGTGTGTGAGGTCATGTGTATGAGGTCATGTGTGTGAGGTCATGTGTATGAGGTCATGTGTGTGAGGTCATGTGTATGAGGTCATGTGTATGAGGTCATGTGTGTGAGGTCATGTGTATGAGGTCATGTGTGTGAGGTCATGTGTGTGAGGTCATGTGTATGAGGTCATGTGTGTGAGGTCATGAGTATGAGGTTATGTGTATGAGATCATGATTATGATGCCATGAGTATGATGTCATGTGTACGATGTCATGTGTACGAGGCCATGAGTATGAGGTCATGAGTATGATGTCATGAGTAGTACAAGAAATGGAATGCAGTAACAAACAACAACAAACAACACTCGGAGCAGTGATCAGATTGAACAAACAAACAAAATTATATTAATTTTGTTTATGGTGCACAGCATCCAATGCACCTTTAGCGTTTGCGGACTACACACAACTGCATCATAAAGAAAGCCAGGTGGCTGGTTAACAGGCCGCCACTTCGAAGTACTCTGCTCAGTTGCTACTCACACTCAGCCAAAGAGGTCTTGCTTTGAAAAAGCTTGTGTATTGAGCTTGCAAAATCATGACATAACTTTCGGACTGGTCACCATTCGTATGCAGTTGTCAGTTAGTTGTAGGGCTGAAACAATTATACCGATAACTCGCATATCGATCGTTAAGAGTGCAATCGATAATCGTTAGTGTTTAAAACGAGTGCTAACGATTTATTATGAATGCATATCAGTGACAGTATTCTAGCCCTTGCACTTCATCCGATAGTGAATACGAGTACAATCATGTACTTCCAAGCGCGGTAAAATTGATTTGTGGCTTTGAAAGAGATCGGGAGAGAAGACTTTGTCTTTTTGGTTCATTTGTGTGAGAGGTTGGAGATAAGAGCAGTTGCCAGAGGGTGATGACAAGATTCTTTGCTCTAGAAACAACATGAAATTCTCTAGTTCATGTTGATAAACCAGCCAGATTTCCACAGATGTCAACAGAGCGGTGCCACAAATTTCTAATGTACCAAAGGTATCATGGAATTTCTTCATAAACTGGTGTGCGAGGTACACGAGTAGAGCCGACAAGAATCCGATAAAACCAATATATCGATCGTTAATGATATTGGTTGATCGTTAGGAGTTATTGAATGATCGTTTCAGCCCTAGTTAGTTGGCAAACCAGCCTTTCATTTTCTAACTGTCAGGTTCGGAACAACCCGAAGTGTTATGCCATACTGGAAATTTCTGGTTTTACAGTATTTTTCTGTATTTTTGCCTTTCCGTGTGATGGTGTGATTTGCCAATGCAGACGTTCAAGCTTCTTTTAGCCTCAACAGAGTTCGTGTGTAGATGTGTCATCAAGATCAGCACCATGCAAACTCACCTCTCCCGCACTGGTGCTCACGCCATTCATCTGCACGCGTGTACTCTGGTAGATCCGATCGTTCCTTGCATAGTCTGCAGCAGAAAGAGCACGGCGAGGTGGCACCATCGCATACGCCCACACGCACAAAAACGTTTGAACATGTGATCAACTTTACCTGTGCATACTCTAAAAAATAAAATAGAAATAAAAATCATCTCAGTTCCCAAAGCGAACTCACAATGGCCGCTGCCACCCGGAATACCCCAGCGGCAGATACGGCACCTACATGTGACATTGAGGTTGACGGGATACGTCTCACTGAAGTCTTACAACTACTGGCACATGTGCCAAACGTTCTACACTCATACCTCGGCTATCCGGACCCCGACGTTGCAGACATGTCGGTCTACCGGGCACCTTTCGGGCGAGTCTCAGGGGAAATATTATCACTCCTCCGTCATCTTTTTGTGGCAATATTGACGCCATAATGCCATATCTAAATCGGTATGTCGAAGCATGGGGTTTAATGCCTGAATTGTCCAGTCTCTAAAGAAAGGATGCGCTGCAGTAGTGGTGACATGACATGCACTGCTACACTAACGTTACTACTGGCAGCCCCATACACGGATCCGCAGGAGACCAACTTCCTTTTGCCGGGCTGACAGAAATTCCGAGCGCCTGGAGCCACATACCTGTGCAATTTCTCTGCTCCCTCCAACGCACCGACGGCAATGGACTTGTTAAAGGAACGCAAGACGGCAGGAGTGACCGTTATGAAACTGTAGGTTCCCTGGGACTTTCCGCACTGCCATCCAGCCGTAAAGCTAAACTCCGTGCCAGCAAAGTTCAAGTAAAAGTCTCGACAATACTTGAATGGGAAAATAGCCAATGGTGTGTCTGTAAGCAAAGGAAATCGATAAAAGAACAATATGGATCATAGAGCTAAATCCGTGGGGATAGTACAAGTCAGTAGGAGCGGTTAGCAATGCAAAAGTTCGAAAGGAAAATTGAGGCTGGGAAAGAGTACATAAGCAAAGCTCGAAACTTCGCAAACTTGGACGCGAAGTTATAGTGATTTGCGGAAAGTAACTTTCTCTTTCCTCAGTACGCACTTGAGATGGAGGAGTATAATTAACACTACTCCCTGCTTGAGACGGAGTGTTTGAGTACGGGACTATAAAAATTCGAAAACACACACGCACGACTTTGCTTTTTTCACAAAAAGAATACAGCATCTAGTTGCTAAACCTAACAAGTGCTCTCGTGGTACTTTACGGTATACCGTAAACCGTGTTTTAAATTGCTAATCATTTTTGTTCATCCGTAGAATCACATACCAGTACTTCTTTTTTTTCATGGAGAAGGGCCATCGATATGGCGTATGGCGTCAGTAATTCCACAAAAGTGACAACAGAGTAGTAATATATCCACTGACACTCTCCCACTGGGTACCCCGGTAGACTGGGGACTTTGGGGACGGATAACCGAAGTATGAGTGTACAGGTAGCCCTTGGCGGATTATGCTCGAAAAGGTGGCAGATTCTGCTTGAAAAGCAGTGAAATTGGCAGAATCATACAAACCTTATGGCGGTCAATTCCTCGAATTCTGCTCCATTTCTTTATCCAAATACCAAACATGCATGAAACTTACAAGAGAAAGTACCGAATTCTGCCAATTTTTCTGCCAGCATTATCCGCCAAGGCCAATGTACAGTGCCAGTGGATTTCAATAGAGACTACACAAGATAAAGCCAATGAATTTGTTCCACCTCAACCACATGCGCTCTCTGGCTGATATCAAACATAGGATAAAACATACGTTTTTCTTTGCAGCCGATATAATGTTATAGTGCTTTTGGGGACTTGTGTATCCTTGTACAATATTTTTGACCTTGGATAGATGGTACGTCAGCTGTAAAATACAGATTTTGATGTCCCAGGCTAATGGTACGTTCTACAAGAACTGAAATCTCCCTGTATTACTCCAGTACCATTCTCAAACAGCTGAAGCGTCTTGGACGTTGCAACCAGCTTGGTGGCATTGTGCATAATTCTACCCAATGTCCCTTCGAGATGCTTCCTGGTCGTCAGTGATAGGTCAACCTCCAAGCCATAGGTTTCTGCCAACACAGGAACGCAAAAGAATGTACAACACATATTTCCAAAGCCGTCACACTTTGAGGAAAACTGACTTGCCGGGTCTCCAGAGAAAGAGTGACTGACTACAACGATGGTGCTCTTGCACTCGAGTCAAGAATGTAATACAGTCAACTTGGCTAATAACGACTGCGGATATAATGACAATTCGCGAATAACGACAGAATTTCCATGCCCAGAGAAAAGCTCCATCCCACTGTAATACATATAATGAGACTTCGGGTATAACGACACTTCGCGAATGAGGACACCTTTTTGATGCCCCCCCCCCCCCCCCCCCCCCCGAGTGTCGTTATAAGCGAAGTTGACTGTAAAGGCTATACGATGAGAAAGGATTGCTACCACTTAGTTGCAACAGTGGGGATGGTAGTGGATCTATGCTGTGCAGTGATGACCACCAACCACTACGACTGGCCACCGCCATTGTGTGTGTGTGTGTGTGTGTGTGTGTGTGTGCGCGCGCACGTGTGTGTGTGTGTGTGTGTGTGTGTGCGCGCGCGTGCACGTGTGTGTGTTACGTGCATGTTTGTGTGTGTGTGTGTGTGTGTGTGTGTGTGTGTGTGTGTGTGTGTGTGTGTGTGTGTGTGTGTGTGTGTGTGTGTGTGTGTGTGTGTGTGTGTGTGTGTGTGTGTGTGTGTGTGTGTGGTGGTGGTGGTGGTGGTGGTGGTGATGGTGGTGATGGCGATGGATATGTGTGTGTGGGGTGGGCAATCGCACGTGTAACACCATCCATAGCTCCGTGCCTCAGCACCGATTCTGTTTGCGGTTGCCTTGATCAGCAGAGTCTTCACTGTAGAGATAGGAGGGGGGGGGGGGGTACACAACAGGGCAATACTAATATGGAAAGGGTACGGTACGGTACACTACGTGGAAGTGATCAATAGGATACGGACCGAGGTCTTTTACTCAGCCTATATTTCCCATATAGATCGAAGTCCAGGTCAATATCATAAAATTATACATATCAATGAGCAGCTGGGACCAAACCGTGAGAAAAGAAATTCTTTTAATGGTGGTTTAGCGTGTGCGCTAAGCCCTGGAACATCTACCACTCATACTTAGTCTGATGATCATGCATCTGATTATGATGTCATTGCTATACATGCGCATGCGCAGCGCGCGCCACTCTCCCACGCGTGCATTCCAAATCTTGCTTTAGAGAGAGAGAAGGAGAAAAGAGAGACTCCTTTGTCACTTTTGCTTTCCGACGACTTGACTGTTCACTGGTTTGTCCGTCAGTTGTCAATTTCAATTTCCTACATTTTCCTGCCTCAACGGACATGCCAAGAACACGGAGCACCTCACGGGGTGCAAGCGCTGCTGGCACTGACGCTGACGGTCCCCCAGCTCTCTACCCGTATACGCAGCGGGCTGTGAATTCTGCGAATTCTCAAGACCATCGGAGAGCGAGGTCCCGTGTGATCCATGCTCATGGGCACATTTCAGCCAATGCGGACCAGGTGACTTCTCCTGCGCCGTCACAACCAGCTCCTCTCACCCTGAGCGACCTGATTGGTGTTATCCAGCCCCTCCTGGAGCGCGTGGAGCGCTTGGAATCCAACGTCGTCGCCCCTACCACCTCGCCCATTGCCGCACCAGCACCAGCACCAGCATCAGCTCCTCTCCCGCTGGGGCAGCCTTCCCCGATGCACTTGGCTTGCGCAGCCGGCTCTCCAGGACTCCCCGTCATCCCTCCACGGCTACGGGAACGTATCACACGAGGTGAGTTTGTCGAATTTGGGGACTTGTTGCCTGAAGCCATGTCCGGCAGTAGTGATGTCCTGCAGTTGTCGTTGGTGAACGGCAGGTCCGTTGAGCTGGTGCAGAGCTCGTCCATTCCCCAGCCCTCCAAGCGCCGAGTCCATGACTTGGCGACGTGGTTAGAGGCCTTCACCTTGTTCACCAGAGTCCTGGTCGATGCGTCGCCGGACCAAGCTCCAGATTTGCTGGCGTACCAAGCCAACATCATCGAGGCCAACAACAATTATCTGACCGACGCGTGGCTGACCTATGACCGTCGTTTCCGTGCTGGTCTTGCTGCCATGCCGCACCTGTATTCCTGGCGGCAACTGGACCCTAACCTCTGGCAGTCCTGCTTCACGAGCCGCGGGCGCCCTATCTGCTCGCGTTGTTCTCTCGTGCACCCATCTCCAGCCCCGCATTGCCCCTTTCGTGGAGGGCTCCCTCTTGCGCAGCACGCAGGCGGGAGCCAGTCAGCCACCAGCCCAGCTCCTCGTCACGATGGCCGCCAGATCTGCCGGAATTACAACAACGGCGCCTGCACATACCCGTCCTGCATACGGGCCCATGTCTGTCTGTCTGTCTGTCTGTCATGCCGCGGCAAACACCCAAAGAAGACTTGCACCCGAGCGGCCTCTCAGTCTTCCCAGTGACGTCGTCACTCCAGTCAACGTGCCTCGGCTAACTGCACTGCTAGCTGCTCACCCTGATGCCCTGTTTCGTGATTATGTATGTGCTGGCATGTTTAATTAACGGCTTCTCGATTGGTCACACCACTCCTCTGGTATCATGCATTCAATCTGTCAATCATCCGTCTAGTCTCTGCAATAAACAGTGTGTCACCCTGTACCTACAGTCTTGTTGCGATGCTGGGGAAATAGCTGGTCCGTTTGCTGAGCCGCCATATCAGCTGTTTCGAACCTCGGGTTTGGGCCTGATCCCAAAATCCAATGGCAAATTTCGCCTCATCCATGACCTATCCTCCCCCACTGACCGCAGTGTCAATGATGGTATTTCCCGGGAGTCATTTCGCTTGGAGTATGACACTGTCGATTCGGCTATCTCCTATATCATGAAGTTAGGCCGTGGTTGCTACCTGACCAAAGTGGACATTCGAAACGCCTTCCGATTATGCCCTGTTGCCCCCTCTGACTGGCACTTGTTGGGTATCTCTTGGGATGGTCGTTACTATTTCGAAAAGTCCTCCCGCTCGGCCTTCGGTCAGCTCCGTACATATTTGACAAGTTCGCATCTGCCCTTCATTGGGTTCTGGAGGACACATGCCGCCTTCCCCATCTCATTCATTATCTGGATGACTTCCTGAATGTATCGCCTCCCAGTCCTCCTCTTGCCCAGCACCAGAAGTCACTACTGCTCGACCTGTTTGCATATTTACAGGTCCCAGTTGCACCTGAGAAGGTTGATGGCCCCTCTACGGTTCTCACCTTCCTGGGCTTAGAGCTGGACACAATGGCTCTGGAGATCCGCCTTCCACCCTCAAAGCTGACTAAGCTATCTACCACCGTGTCGGCCCTCGTCCAATCCGGCCGGGTTCAGAAACGCGACCTCGCCTCCGTATTGGGCAAACTCTCGTTCGCGTCCAGAGCTGTACCAGCTGGTCGCACATTCCTGAGACGCCTGTACGACCTGGACAGAGCAACTCAATCAACACCATTGCACCAATGGCTACGCATTTCGGCATCGGCAATGGCAGACCTGTTGTGGTGGGCAGAGGCCCTGACCATATGGAATGGGAAGTCATTCTTCCTGGTGGATGAGTGGACGCCAGCCCCCGACATGCAACTACAGACTGATGCCAGCGGCACTCACGGTTATGGTGCCTTCTACAACGGCCGGTGGCTGAGAGGAGAGTGGACAGCCCAGAACGAGAACGAGAACATTGAGTTCAAAGAAATGTATGCTATCATAGTTGCCTGCGCGACCTGGGGTTCGGAGTGGAGCAGGCGACGCATTCAGTTTCAGTGTGACAACAAGGCCGTGGTGGACTGTATACGCTCCGGTACCTGCCGTTCACCGCCAGTCATGACACTTATCCGGGCATTGTATCTGCTGTGTATTGAGCATGACTTCTTGGTGTCAGCTGTCCACATTCCTGGTGTCACTAACACTGTCGCCAATGCATTGTCTCGCAATTTGCTGCAGGTATTCAGGCACCAGGCCCCGGAAGCAGCAGCCGAGCCAGATCAGCCAGTCTTGCCAACTCTCCGTTGACAGACTCCGTGCTACAGCTAGCAGCACTGGCAATAGCACCATCCTCCCGCCGGACGTATTCTACCGCCGAGACCCGCTACTTCCAGTTGTGCCAAGTGCATGCCTGCAACCCATTGCCGGGCGACGACTTTACTTTGTGCTATTTTGCTGCCGAGTTGTTCAGGACTCTTCAGCCTCGATCTGTCCGTGTCTACATGTCGGCAATCCGCAACCTTCATGTGGAACTTGGCTTTGCTTACCCGTCGGGCCCAACAACTCTCCTCGCTAGGGTCCTGCGGGGCATCGACAGGTCGTCATCGACACAGCGTCATCGTCTGCCGATAACCACTCCACTTCTCAGGGAGATCTGCCGGCATGTTGCCGTTCCACGCATGCGGCACCCTCACGACAAGGCCATGCTAAGGGCAGCTTTTTCCTTGGCGTTTCATGGGTTCTTCCGTTGTGGAGAACTGACTGCTGGCCTGAGGCGATGTGATGTGACGATCAGTACTGACCAGCGGTCGTTATCGGTAAACGTGCACTCATCTAAGACGGACCCCGACAGCACGGGCCACACAGTATTGGTTGGAGCCAGCACGGACGCACTAATCTGCCCAGTGCAGGCCATGGCAAACTACCTGGCGTTTCGCCCCGGCGGCGACCATCTGTTCACTTATGCTAATGGCCAGCCGCTTACAAGAAATGCAGTGTCCTCTGAACTGCGCAACCTGCTGCCACTCTGTGGGGTCACGGACCCGAGTGCATATGCCAGTCACTCTTTCCGGATTGGCGCCGCAACATCAGCGGCCATGGCAGGTGTCCCCGAACACATCATCCGTATCATGGGTAGATGGCGCAGTGATGCGGTCCACCGCTACATCCGGGCTGCTACAGCTGACACCCTGCGAGTGTCACGTCAATTAGCTGCAGTTCAAAGTCATCAATGGTAGCTGCGGGTTAGTGACCACATCATGCCTGAACTGCTTAGCTTTAGCTTTACATTGCTGCTGTCAGTACAGCACAATACACCAGTCGTATTTCATTATTACTCTCATGCCATATTGGGGATATTGGGAACGGGCAGTCTATCTCCGCAGCTGGCTCATTTCAATCACTACCGGTCGCAGCTCCTGCCCACGGCAGGCCAACCGTCTCTCGTTCACACTCTGTGTGCTCCAGGTCACAGCTCCTGCGCAGAGCAGGCCGACCTGTCTGTCTCTCTCTCTCACACACACTATGTGTGCACCGGGTCACAGCTCCTGCGCAGAGCAGGCCGACCTGTCTTTCTCATGCATGCCAGCTGCTCCGCCCAATATCCCTGATATGCCAACCAGAAAACAATGTGTTCTGAGCCGGGTGCATGCCTGTATGTGGAGAGTGCGTTAATGGTGGTTTAGTGTGCGCGCTAAGCCCTGCTAACGAACGTGGAACATCTACCACTCATACTTAGTCTGATGATCATGCATCTGATTATGATGTCATTGCTATACATGCGCATGCGCAGCGCGCGCCACTCTCCCACGCGTGCATTCCAAATCTTGCTTTAGAGAGAGAGAAGGAGAAAAGAGAGACTCCTTTGTCACTTTTGCTTTCCGACGACTTGACTGTTCACTGGTTTGTCCGTCAGTTGTCGATTTCCCCTTCCCTCCCAACCCCATTCGACTGGGGATCACTATCTCTCCGTCCCTGTCACCATAATTTCCTCAATAACAGTGTCAGTACAACTCTTGTCAATATACTTATATCGGGTGAGGGCAGTCTATCTCCGCAGCTGGCTCATTTCAATCACTACCGGTCGCAGCTCCTGCCCACGGCAGGCCGACCATCTCTCGTTCACGCTCTGTGTGCTCCAGGTCACAGCTCCTGCGCAGAGCAGGCCGACCTGTCTGTCTCTCTCTCTCACACACACTATGTGTGCACCGGGTCACAGCTCCTGCGCAGAGCAGGCCGACCTGTCTTTCTCATGCACGCCAGCTGCTCCGCCCAATATCCCTGATATGCCAACCAGAAAACAATGTGTTCTGAGCCGGGTGCATGCCTGTATGTGGAGAGTGCGTTAATGGTTTTCAAACTAAGTGAGACCCATTAACGTTTGCTATGTGTGCCACATGAGATCTGCACCGCACCACTAGCATCAATAGAATTGGCGACCAAGCCATTTCCCAGCTCAACACCAAAACACCTGACGCCCTCACCACAAGATTCAGCCGCGTCGGAGGATCCTCTGACATATCCTCTACACTGGCGAATACCTTTCACAAGGTGCAAGTGAGGGAGTACATCGTGGCAAGTCCTGCCATCAAGGTACTTCTGGTTAAATTCATTGACATCCGCAAGACCATCCATAGCGTCCGTAGCCTGTAGATCAGAGGAAAGTACACAATCTGCATTGGTCAAATCCATAGGCCTAGTCAATTCACTTAGGTCTTTACTGTTAAAGGGGAAGTTAAGGCAAAAATTAAAATTTCACCAGTTGTAGTCTTCGGGGTGCTGAGTCGAATGGTCTTGGTCCGAGAAAGCTGGGACGCTCCCTTCCTACTTGAATCCCAATCGAACTCGCGCACTTCCACCGAAACTGGGTGACTGCGCCCTACTAGATGGGGATTTGTATGCAAAATGTCACTAAAAACGCCGTTTCGTTCTTATAAAAGCACGGATGACCGCGATTGGCCCATATGTTGTAGTCTTTTGGACGCTGAGTCGACTGGTTTTGGTCCGAAAAGGCTGCGATGCAGCGTTCCTCCTTTATTCCCAATCGAACATGGTTGAACAAGTGGTCACGTGCTCCTGGGTGCCCAAATCACCTGGTCACCATGCCAGCAGGCGACAACTTTCACACCAAGCTTCAACTCGAGTTCAACTCGAGTGACAGGACTGCACCCAAAAAAGGTCAAACAGGCTAGTAAGTTGTACCCTGCAGGCACGGTGACCAGGTGACTGGTGTACGCAAGAGCACGTGACCGCTTGTTCAACCATGTTCGATTGGAAATAAAGGAGGAACGCTCCATCGCAGCCTTTTCGGACCAAAACCAGTCGACTCAGCGTCCAAAAAGACTACAACATATCGGCCAATCGCGGTCATCCGTGCTTTTATAAGAACGAAACGGCGCTTTTAGTGACATTTTGCATACAAATCCCCATCTAGTAGGGTGCAGTCACCCAGTTTCGGTGGAAGTGCGCGAGTTCGATTGGGATTCAAGTAGGAAGGGAGCGTCTCAGCTTTCTCGGACCACGACCATTCGACTCAGCACCCCGAAGACTACAACTGGTGAAATTTTGATTTTTGCCTTAACTTCCCCTTTAAGAGTCAAGCTCAGGGTTTTAGTGACATACACACGCACACACACACCCGCGCACGCGCACGCACGCACACACACACACACACACACACATCTCTGTCATTCTCAAAATATTTCGGCTGCAGAAGAAAGTTCAAGGGCATGCCAAGTGAAATCGATCCACCAAAGTGAGAAAAAACCCGGATAACACTAGATATATGCACAGAGAGAAGAAAAGGAGATAGAAAAGTCAAGCATACCAATAACTGGCAAAGACAATGATATTGATAGCAGCAACACGAGTACGAGCATCAGCAGCAGCAGCACCACCACCACGACCATTGATCCATAGTGCCTCTGCCAACAGACTTCATCTTCTGAAGACCGCCGGATAGACCAACAATGTTCGGAATTTATTGAACTTTTTCTCTATTATAAAAAGGAAGAAATACATCCAAGGGCTTACAATTCCGTCAGCATTTATAAGCACTTGTTCGCGGTAGATACAGTCGGTGTCGTTGTTGGACAGAATCACAGAGTTGCCGCGCGTCCATAAAAAGTAATCACCGGCATACGGCAGCCTTTCGGCAGCCTGCGCCGACAGTGCCGTAGCACCGGCCTCGTCCAGGAAATGATGACATTCGCTCATGGCCAGCTTACCCATACAGGTCTGATTGAACGTGTGGAACGATTCTGGACATCAAAGACGAGAAAACGAGTACAAGTCACGTACATTGAACGGTGCTGTCTAGTGCGCAGTGTCGTCACAAGAGTCCTAGGCCGTTCTCAGCCGGTTTCGTGCACTATTGCCTATGTAGTTGAGATACTTTGTACATGAGGATATACTGTACCTGGTGAAATTCTAGCCTGTTGGTTCATCGGCGCATCATTCTTCGGCGCCCGATAGTTCTATTCTATGTGTCAAACGGTACATTTACAGTACGCACGTATGCAATTTCTTGTCGTAACTGTCTGGTAGAAAACTGTGTCCTGTAACTCTCTATTTTACCCCATACACGAGCACGCACACATGCATTCACACACATACGCTGCCCCTCCCCCCCCCCCCCCCACACACACACACATACATGACCTGCAATATTTTGCTTCTTTTAAAGGCTTGACTCACAGTCAAATTCAGATCAAATTAATTTTCCATGCAATTCAGGCTGCTGAAGCTAGTGAGTGGCCTTAGCAGAACCTCAGCCTGACCTGTACCGAACTACTAGTATTTGATAGCTATCATCAGCCTGCCAATTAGCAATACCAATAGCTTTCCTATAGTGCTGTAAGACCACTAATATTAACGAAAATTTAATTCTAACGGTTTAACGAATTGCAAATTCGTTAAAATTTGCAGTCGTTATGTATAAAACGATGTGTACATGTACAGTAATCAAGTTTGCCGGTTTTGACGGACAGAATTCGTTAGCATTTCACTTCACTAACCAACAATCCGGAGATTGTTAATTTTAGTCGACGTTAAAATATCTGGTCTTACATTAGCTATCAAATACCAACACTGAGGCCTGGTTGAGGTCCTTCTAAGCCCACTCATTTCAGCAGCCATCATACCAAACCAGCATTTATCTGGTGTTCTTGCACTACTATCTCTCCCCAAACCCGCTTCACTCTGTATAATTTAGAACAAAAGCAGCATCGTCGTCTAGGAGATGGCCTATCACGGACGTTCCCACCAAGGGACGTATCGACCTAACATAATCCGGTGTTCTTGCAGAACTAGCTCTCCAAACACAAGCTTCACTCTGCAATCATAGTGCAATGTCACTCTATGATGTCACTCTATGATGTCACTCTATGATGTCATGCTATGATGTCATGCTATGATGTCACGCTGTGATGTCACTCTATGCTGTCACGCTATGATGTCACTCTATGCTGTCACGCTATGATGTCACTCTATTACATCACTCTATGATGTCATCTTACCGACCATGTCGTCGCTGCCGCTGCTCTCTCGGTGCACAGGATCGGTCAATCGGATTAGTGTGTTATCATTGTCCTTGAGAAAGCCTCCGGACGCCGCTAAGTGATCAAACACAAATTGCATCACACTAGTGTAGCCCGGGTAGTCAGATTCCAAGAACTGAAGAAACATGAAACACAAGAACAAGTTCGCACATAATAAATTATCAAATTCCTTCCTGGTCCTGTGTCGTTGAGAGAGCTTGTGAGAGTTAGAAGCGTGCTGTACTAATCGGCTAAGACCAAGACCAAGTGTTAACAAGGAGCCTAGATTACGGGTCAGTTGCTGTGATGCCTGGTAGAACCAGGCATTGCCCAGAGCGCGCGTGGAGCACTAAAACGTTGCCATGCAGGCTGAAAAATCCGACTTTTTCCCGGCGGACAACCCCCGGACCTCCGGCCGTACCACTTGCCACTGCCCTGTGACACCCCTACACACATACACAAACACACACACACATTATCAACACATGCACACATACACAAACACACACGTTCACACATGCACGCACACACACAGACACGCACACAGACACGCACACGCACACACACACACACACACACACAAACAAACACAGCCAAACACACGCACATACTCACATGCACACGCACCACAGGCACATCACTCGTAACATAGCAACCCTGACAAGTCACCGGCACTGAAGGCAATCAAGAGAGTCACCTGTCCATTTTCGTCCGTGAGGCGTTTGTGCACTTTCTCAGACTCAAACGACCACCTGCTGCTTGACAGATAGATCTCTCCACTGATTTCCTCTCTGACTAAGAAATGGCTCGAAGGTCTGATGCACGCGTTGTTGGTTGATTCGCCGCGCTCCTTTGCAGATGTGATACGCTCCTCGGCAGCAGACCTCCCTAGCTTGCCGTGATACCAGCTGAATGCTGCCAGTGGACTGTTGTCAGCATCAGGTCGTACAAATCCTTGACCTGCAGCATCACAAGGCAAATATGGAATCTGTAGTGACCTACCTCTGAGACTATTTTAGTACTGCATGATGGGAAATAGGACATGGTCATTTTTTATATAATTGTCTATTTTTTATACGAAAGTCCACTATAATCCCCGAATATGTGCGAGAAATGGTGGCGGGGCCAGGCTGCTCTGCCGACCTTAAGGTCTCGGCATCTACGCAGACAAAGCGCGCCATAATGCAGTAAAACCATGAGGAGGGGAGGAAGAGGGGAAATGAATAATAGTGAGGAACGAGGACAATGGGTAGACATTGGTCTTGGCAAGATATATTTTCATACTCGAAGTAGTTTTCTTTGCAGGGAGCGTACCAGGGCCTCGTATACCTGTGCTTGCCAATTGATTTTCTCAGACGCTTGGCAATCGCATCTGAATGACTGGCCTTGTTTAGTACACCCACCCACCTACACACACACACTCTCTCACACACACTCTCTCACACACACGCACACACACACACACACACACACACACACACACACACACACACACACACACACACACACACACACACACACACACACACACACACACACACTCTCTCTCTCTCTCTCTCTCTCTCTCTTTTTCACACACGCACACACACACACACACACACACACACACACACACACACACACCCACACACATATGCACGTACGCACACACAGACACACATACACATACCCACACATATATGCACGCACGCACGCACGCACACACACACGCACACACACACACACACACACACACACACACACACACACACACACACATTACACAGCGCAGACCTCAGTTCCCTGCATGCCTGTATTCTTACAGGTGGGTAATGGGTATGCACTCATATCTAAAGAAGTGAAATTTTGTTTTCTAGTAGGGGTGAAAGTTGGCATTGAGATCCCGAGTTCGAGTACTCTGATTTTCTCCGATCGAATATTCGAGTATTCGAGTATTCTTCATCTCCTAAAAATTGCACACCGAGGGCCTTAAAATCACATGATACACCCCTGATTGAACCGAATGGCAGCCATTTTTCTCTGGTATATTGGTTGCTGGGTCATTTGGGCTCTCTCTACTCTTGAACAAATGTTCACCACACAGTCTGCACATCAATATCTGCCAATTGGTTGCTCTGAAACTGCAGATTTCTGTGGTAAATGCATGTACCACGTAGGAACGAGTACTCTGATTTATTCCGAGTACGAATATTTCTGAAAAAACCGAGCGAGTATTCGAGTATTCGGTATAATTGTTTCACCCCTATTTTCTAGTGAAGGAGTGTCGTTATACCAGTATCCAATCTCCACTGTAACTCTAAAATTTAATCTAACTCGACATAGGGACTCATCCTAGTCACCTACATACAAACACAATACAGTAAAACCTGGTTTAAGTGACCACCCCACGGTGCAAGCAAAAGCGGTTGTTAAAGCCAGGTGGTCTTTAGAACCAGGTCCCACACATTCGTGGCTTCTCGGCGGATCGTGTACATACCTGTGCATGACTGTACTTCCATGTACTCATGTTGACAGTTGTGGAGCATAGAATACTTTCGTGCAGACGAAGCACACCTCGCCCAGGTGCATGCAGCGCATCCTGCACTGTCACTTGTCACTTCTGTTCACTCCACGCACTTGCTTCAGAGCACACTTCAACCATGTTGCAGTCAACCCTGGCAGCCAAGATGGCACTTTTGGCTAGTTTTGGTCGCTGTGTGCAGGTCCAATGTGGCACTTGGTACACCAAAGTCGGTCGCTGGTCGCGAAAGGCAGGTGGTCCCTGTACCCGGTGCAGCTTCTGTGTAGAACTGTGTAGCAGGCAGCCGCTAAAACAAGAGTTCGCTTAAACCAGGTTTTACTGTATTTGTAGATTTGAAGACAAGTTCCGTGTGTTACTGACCTTGGACATTTGTGCTCCGCGTGGTCACAGCAGAAACTGAAGTAAAGACAAAGAGACATCAAGCAACCAATGATGGTATCTGGAAAGGCCCTATGGTAATACCGAGGCAAATGATTTGCAGGGTAACAAGTTTTCGTTTTACCACCGATACTGCTGCATGTTACAGCCGACATGTGCTTGCCACCCGGCAGTTGAGTGCGCATTCCCTAGTCGATCTGCAGACAAACTTCACCTCAGCAGGTATTCACATATACTTACTTGCATACAGGGCCCTCTCCCTCCCTTTCTCTGTCTCTCTACCTTTCTCTCTCTCTCTGTCTCTCTGCCTCTCGCTCTCTCTGTCTGTCCGTCTCTGTCTCTCTCTCTTGGTGCGGGCTCAGTGGCTGGGTGTTACAGGTCATCACTACGCTGTCATGATCATGCCGGTGTGATTTGGAGACACTCAACACTGACAGCCACACACGGACACACACCAATGACCGCAGGACACTGCGCCGTACACATCAAATGGCTACAGAAGGCAAACGCGTAAAAAAGCACGCTTGCCCACAGGCACTACACACTCCACCGACAGGCAACTGTACACCGGTACTCTTCTTCTAGTTTCATTGTGTTGGTGCTGGCCAGAGGGATCACATTCCGTGTGGGCCAGCAGGACACCCGTCATCCAAAGATTTACAGTTCAATGGATAAGGTAATTGGATTACTAATTGCACTAAGATAACGACGGGGCTAATATACATGATATATGGGCACGCACATTCACACAAATACAATATTCTCAATTATTTCAAAAGCCATGGAAAACATACTGTAAAAGTCATAAAAAAAGCTTTTAAAAAGACATGTGCCCGAAACATTATTTTTTGCATGTGCAAAGTATGACACTGGTTCCATTGGACGTCCTTGATTTGATCAGTTTATCGTGGGGCAAAAAGCCTTGCCAGCAGTGCAGCATTGAACTCCTTCTCCAGCTGGCGTAGTTCATGCGCTGCTTTCTCTCGCTCAGACTCTCTCTTTTGCTCGTACTCCAGTCTCTTAGCTTCCCGCCGCTCGCCTTCTTCCCGTCTATCTGCTTCACGTTTGTCTTCATACTGCTGCTGCATCAGCAGGAGCTTCATCTCGAATTGCTGACGATCCTGTGCCATCTTCGCTTGCATCTGCGCCATACGCTCTTCAAACTGTAATAGATATTTGGCGATTGCTTCATGGCACTGGCATGATGCTGATGATGTCACCGATGATGTCACCGATGATGTCATAGCTGCTGAGGTCATTGCTGCTTGTGCTGCAGCTACTGAGAGCACCGGTGCTGGTACTGGATGTCGAATGGGTCCGTTACTGGCAACGCTACCTATAGCATCCGTCATGGAGCGGTCAGCGAGGTGGGATGATGACTGCGATGTTACAGACGATACCGCTGCTGCTGGTGGTCGGGTGGGCGTAGTGCCTGATGTCAGGTGATTGACCAGGTGAGGTGACTGTGCAGCCACACTGGTAGGGGTGTCCAGTTCAATGGCATTCACCATGGCTGTCACTTGACCGTCAGAACACAGCTGCCTCTTCGGCGCTGGCTCTTGCGACAAGGAAGTTGCAGATGCATCTGCCAAATCCTCCACATTGATCGTCACCAGGGCTTCACTGTCATCGTCTGCGCAGTTTGCATTTGCTCCCAGCGATGGGTGACGAAAAAACAGCTGGTGGTACAATTGGAAGTTCGGCCAATGAAAGAATGCGCCCTATGACCACAGGAACACAACACAAAATCGATAGGAACAATGTCATATGATAACATAATGGCGATCATGCAACTAAAATTATTCATATTGAATGCACAGTAAAACCTGTCAAGGCGACCACTCGGATAAGGCTACCACCTGTCCTAAAAGACCACTGAAAGCAGGACCAAGGGAAGCTATTTTCAGTCAAATGGCCCTGGATAAGGAGCCCACCTAGTAACAGAGACCACGTTCTGAAGGTCCCTTGAGCGGCGGTCGTCTTAAGACAGGTTTCACTGTAGTTCTGGAGCACGAGTGCAGTACACACCTAATGCAAGGCCATACCAAAGGAATTCTACTTTGAAAGCGGGAGGCAGCACAGAGTGCTGGCAGGTGAAAGTCAAATCCAAATGTAGGCAATTCTGCCAGTACATGCAGGGATCGATTTACTTTGAATTTTTTGATTAGCAGTCACTGCTACACAGTTTTACAATTGACTAGCAACTCCCAGTATTGATTAGCAGTTTTCCTTCATCGAAAGTTTACATGTATAGCTGACACTAGCAGGATTTCGTACAGAAGAGGACAATAGCTGCAGTTGCTATTTGCTTTTCCAAGCGAATGTTCGATCTGAATATTTACGTTAGAGTTTTCGCTTAGGCACGTTACATGTTCAGCGTCCATCCGACTTTGAGTTCTTCACAACACAATGTCCTTCAACAGGGCAGTTTCACTGATTCCTTCGACAAAGAAACCTCAGGAAAGCGCTCAAACGATCGTGACATTTCGTGCAAAGCGCATCGAATTTCGCTTTTCTCCTTTTCTTCATCGAAATGAATCGACATTCCTGGCGCGTCCAGTTCTTTCTCCCTCTTCTGGACAGTGAATCACTGATCAGATTCACTGACATGTTGGCTACATGAGACTAAGAACCGTCTACTTCAACTGTGCCTTGTCGAACAGAAACAAACTGAGCTTGAAAGTGAAAGAAGAAAGGAGAACATCAGGAAAAGTCACCGCCGTGTACAAAACTTCAGAAGACTGCAGTCGTATACGACCATTGCTAGTGCAGTGTCCAAAATCGAAAGAGCGCGATCCACGACCCGCGCGCGGACTGAGCAGGACAGGCCAGTTGGTTGGTGTAGTAAAATACTACTCCCTAGTCAGCAGTGTGTACAACAGTCGCATGTAGACTGCAGTCACTGCACACACTGGTCTTTGTAGTGCATCGCAGTTTTGGGCGATAAAAAACGAAAAGCGAATCGCAGCCAGTGAATTTTGATTCGCAAACTGCGATGCGAACCCGGATAAATCGATCCCTGACATGTATGTGCTGGTGTTCATAGGATATGATGTGCTTTTCGACAATACACAGCCTGCATCAGTGGGTGCGTTCGATTACCGTGCGTTCGATTACTGCCATGAACCAATTCATGAATGGAATACCGTCGTTCGATTCCATGTCATGAGCCCTGGAATCGGTTTGTAATCGCATCATCCTAGTCACGTAAGTTGATGAGAATAGTCAGGGGCGATTCATGAATGGATCCAAAATGGATTCTCGGGAAAATCGAACGCACTCAGTGTGTGAAAGTAGCACTGCAGTCAAATTCTGCAATGTGCATAGAGTGAGGGCATGTGCCGCTGCTACTGCTGCTGCATGCATTATGACGGACGGAAGCTTATAAAAAAGCGTACGTGACTACAACCAAACCGATTGGTAGTAGTGCATTGATCTGCAATGAAGTGCAGCTGTTGTTGCAGACTCTCTCAGTTAACTGGGGGGTATCCAGTAGTCCGTATCTACTACAATGTGCACTGTACCTCAAGTTGTCTAGGGAATGTGTCAGTAGCATCATCTGTGTGTGCGTGTGCGCGTGAAAATTGAAAATTGATACAAAATCCATACACCACTGACAAATCACCTAGACACAACTTGAGGTACAGTACACAGAACACTAAGTAAAAACCTGTACAGTGTACACTATCGCAGACATTACAGTCTATTCATATAAAAAGATGATTTCTGGCTCCGGTGAGCTCCCCCGTACTTGGTGATTTTATCGTACATGGTGAATTGCCGAAAAATTTGAAATTTGAAAACGTCCAGAAGAGGTACCCCAGCTGGGGTTTGAGCCACACATTGCACTGTTGAAAGTGAAGTCACACAGCCTAGATTTTACATGGTTTTCCCAATTCAGTGCTTCTGGGGAAAAATATGTTTGTCCCGGAACAACATTCTCCTTGCCGCTAGCACCTTAAACTGAGGAATCGAGATTTTAACCCTTTACTGTCCGTACATACAAGCATCGATCCAATGGGATCGATGGGGTAGGCATTTTGAAATTATCGTAACTTGCTCAAATCTAGGTCTTTATGAGAGATCGAAATATGTAGGTCGAAGAGAAAAGTCTCAGCTGTCGCCTCGAACAATTCCCGAAGCGATACGAAAAGCGGTTGCTGAGTTATCGCACTCGTAATTCTGGTCCCGGGAAATGTGCGTTCAGAGCGCGACGCGCATGTCGACGGCTGGGATTTTCCCTGTTTACGTCACCTGTTGGCAAGGCTACACCGATTCAAATTCAAAAGCAGGTTCCCGGGAGTCTCTACGAAAATATTTGAGCTCGATACGAGCAACAGGGGTGACATGGTGGATTTAGATCGATCTCGAGCGTGAGCTCAGCGCTTTTGCGCGTTCCCTGGCTTGCAGCGCTGGACCAGTGCATCCTGTGGCGCCGAGTGTGGGCTCATTGCGTTCGTATCGTCAAGACCTTTCCAGGATGCCCAAGATCGTGGAAATCGTCAAATTCAAACCAAAGTTACGTCTAATTTTAGTTTCAGATTTTGTGGTTGCGTGGGCTTGTATACATTTTAATCGGACAGTAAAGGGTTAAGATACATGCGCCAAGCGCTGGACGGATGAGTGTAGGCGTGAAATCCCCACAAGGTCCAGCAACACAAATCGCATCACCTGAAACCACACATGCGTGAGACATCCCTCGCATGGAGTCGGCGTAGTTTTTTTGCGCTTTTCTTGCATTTTCGTCATTATCCGAGAAATATTTCACGATCGCGCACACGCTGATGATTATATTGGTAGGTTTGTGTACAGGTTGGTTTGCACACGCACACGCGTCTTTGTTTCTTATCACCGAATACTCAGGATGCAGTCTGTGTGATTCTTGGACCTGACTGCGCCGACACACATGTTCAAATTCAGGTCGCGTGCACTGATCTCTCTATAAATAATAATAATTATAGAATGTTAAATCGCGAAAGTTCATCGTGGGATCCGTTCCAAACGCGCCAGTTGCACAGTTTGTAGCGTCATTGATTAGTGGCTTGGACACAGAGCTTTAAAATTTCATGCCTGGCTTGTTATTGCCTTTGTTCCTACAAAGCTGATGGGCAACAAATCGTTGTTGGTTGTCATGATGAAAGCGATTCGGAGAGGAGGATAGCAGACGAGTGAGCTAGCAAGGTAATCCGAACAAGTTCGCAATCACACCCACAATAGTGCATATTGACTGACCTCCTACCGTACTACTGGTAACTCACAACAACTGGCACAAATCACAAACAGCAGGAGGAGAGCCAATAAATACATGCCTCACCTTCAGGTCAAAATCCTCTTCAACTAATGGCCCGCTCCTGGTGATACGGCGAAAAGTCTTGTAATACCGTTTTCCCTTTTTCCGCATAGTGTCCAGTTTGTTCTCAGCACTTCTCGGGGTCACTGCCTGCCAACCTGACAGCTCTCCCTGGGTGTTCATCTTCTCCGTGATTTTGTCGTAGCGTACACGCGATTTTTCTGGTTGTCCGTCTTTGCCGGTGAGCACATTTCCCCACAGGTTCAGCAAGAAAGCCTCCATTTCGGAGGTGAACAGGCACCTACCAGGCATACTGGCAATTCCTCAGCACTTTCCGTTGCCGGTTACGACTAATAAAGAGTGGACAATCCAGGACATTCACAAAACTCACAACAAAACGGCAGAGCAAACATAACCGGGTTCTCTCACCGAACAAAAAGAAATGCACGTCTTCGTCGGAGTATGTAGGAGAAATGCTCAGAAAAGCAACCGGCCGGGAAAGCTCCAGTGCGCGATTTTCAAACACTCTTGCTAGCACGACGGGTTTCATGATCTTTGCACTATCCTAGACGAATTAAAGCTGTAAACCCACCCGGACCCGCCTTAGAAAAACCGCCTCACGTCACTCCTGCACTCTGCGCGCTGCTGGCGCCGTGGCCGCACTCCCAAGAGAGCCACAAAATCCATGAGGACTATTTCTGTGGCGGGAAATTAAGATTTCAAAAAAACCCTCAGTTCTGAAATAATTACATCACCAAACACGTACGCGGTGTCAGATTCATGTCAGGATTCAGGACGATTCAGCTCTGGAGATATGCACCATGCACTGGTCTGTAGCTAGTAGATCTACTATTTTTCGTGATGGCTAAGTCAAAAGTAAGTGTTGCTGCCCCACATTTAGCTCTGTGCCTGACTCCTGGAGTCGAGTTGAGTGGCCAAACTCAGTACGTCGGAATCAACACTGGGAGAGGGACGGATTCTGGCACGATTTTTTCTGTGAAAGTATATTCAGCACCGTTTGCATTGTGGCCATGTGCTGTGCAATCAAGAGTACTCTTCGTGCAAGCATGAAGTAAGCAAGCATGAAGTAAGTTACAGGGAGTCTCATCAAAATCATCTTTTACCACTGTGCTCACATACTAAACAACATGCCATGATATGGAGGCCATCAGGCATGTGGATTCTTATTACTGTAAACCGGCCAATATTCGCGTCACTAAATTTTCGCGATTTCTTTGAACCAGCGAGTTTGCGGTGGCAAAGTTCGCGAAGCACAGGGGCCACTTGCATACACCCACTGTTGAAGTTAGATTTCACGATGGTTAATATTCGCGTTACGCTCTTCTCGCGAAAATAGCGAACATTAATCCGTCGCGAATATTAGGCAGTTTACAGTAATTTTACAAACTTTACAAGTCATGCAGTCACTGGTCACATCGTGCGTAAGAAAGGCAACCCCGGGACCAAATCAATCGCCTGAAACCTGTCTTTGCGGGAATTTGCGGAAAAATTATCGAAAACATGCGCAAGAAATTGCGGCAGAAAACAAAAAAAATGCGGCGGAAAGATGCAGAACTTACCAGGAATTCGCGGAACTACAATTCAGAAAATTGCGGATTTGGGCCAAATCACGAAATGTGTTGATCATGAGCGTAGATCTACGCATTTCCCTTTTCGCATACGCACAGTCCATACTACATTCGTGGAACTCAAGATCGCGGCCCCTTTGGCGCTTCATATTGCTTGATATGTGCAAAATATCTCCAAGCTCTTCGAGACCCGTTCTTAATACCAGTTTCTTCGACTTCTCTTTTCTTCTTCTCCGAGAAGCTAGAGAAAATAAGAACTTAGGGGCCATCCGTAATTATTGATCTTTTTCACGAAGAGAAACAGTTTCGTTTATGGGTGGGTGGGTTGAGGAGATTTTCGTTTTGAAAATTATTGATAGCTGAAACATCAAACCATTCTAGCTGTCAAGTCAATGTATTTTTTGTTGAAGGGGGTGGGTGGGTGGGGGAGGGTCATGACTAAACTTTTTCGTTCTGTGAGAATTATCGATAATGCTGGATGGCCCCTTATTAGAATTTCTATAACATCCAAAGTAAGTTAGCACCTAGTAGGCCTACGTGGTGGGAGCTTCTGTGACGTGCAGCTAGATCGCGCAACAAAAACTGCCGACCTCGCATCATCATGATCATGTGTCGGGCAGGCGAGGCCAGGGTGCACATGTGTATGTGCTGGTCCATCCCCACAGTGCAGCACAGTTTTTGTTCTTCCAGACTCCTGAATCGTATGCGAGCGGGTGACGAGAAACATAGAAATAAAAAAAACGTGTGGCCTAATACTGGATGAACAGCCAAGATCCGATTATATGCAGTAGTGTTACAGAAAAATGTAATAAAAGTGCAGAAAACAACAAGGTATACCATAACATAACTCATTGACTAACATATTTTGTGAAAATATTACCCTGTAAAAGAATAGGAATGTAAACAATATACCTGTGAAAACACAGCCTTTAATGCTTCTGTTGAATACGAAAAAGGACGACTGACGACATAACCTGTGACTAAAATAATCATGAGATCAACCCCAAAACATTTCTTGAAGTTTACTTTCGTAGAGTTTGCAACTTTGTGTTCCTCAACACAACTTGCAGCATTCTTCAAAAATATCCTCAACCTTGGTTCTGTCCTAGATCGTATATACATGCATTCATTGTTTCGTCTCATCATTATGGAGCAGCTTATGCGAAGGCTAGCCAAGCTTGCTTGGCGATGCCAACGTGGAAAAGCCTATAATAATAATAATAATAGTTGTAATAAACAACAAATGTGGGAAATCGCGGATTTTGCAGAAAATCGCGGGTTTGGGCCAAAATCGCGAATTTGTTGCATCCGTGGAATCGCGATTTCCTGGAGGGACAGTGAAACCCTTGATCCACAGCAGCAGGATATACATGTATAAATGATATTAAATAAAGAGCTTCCACACTACGTAAAGTTGAGCAACTTTACGTTAGTGGGCAGGAAAAACCCGTGAATTCGTGAGTTTGCCCTCTATTTAGGGCCGGTCACAGATGCACTCAAAAGTAGCGGATGCGCGGAAGCGACTTTGCAGGAGCGAAAAATGCCATGGCAACGGCGAAAAGCAGAACTTCTGCTCCAGCGGAAACTCAAATCCGCTGCCTCCAAAACATTGGGGACGGAACTCTCGCTTCTGCAGTTTCGCTTCAGCGGAAAACACCACAGTCTGCTGTATATGGACTTGCTGCAAGAAATTTGTACGCGTATGATGTCCATGCAACAAAAATGCGTGCAAGATAGTCATTGACCTCGTCTATTCTCCGTACCGTATGCACCACCGTCCACTTTAGTTTACTCTCATTTCCCGCCAAAGTAGGAGCTTGCCCTGTTTGCATGTGTGACCATACACACATGGTTCCGCTGGCGCGACACCAGGCTCGCTGCCGCATTACCTCGCCGCCGAAGCGGAACCCCAGTGCATGTGTGACCGGGCCCTAACGAAAAGTTGTCTACGTAGAGTACGTAGATAGGGCTCTGATAATGGAGGTGCTCCGTAAATGGATTGGGGTACAAATTTTATGACTCACTCCCCAGGTCGACCCGGTTGTACACTGCCGCGTTCCGAGTTGCCAAGGACAGCTACGTTATTCAAAAACTCGGCATGGCGGAACACAGATCCGCATGAACTGTACGTAAGACTTGCCGTAGATTGACTACGTTTTTTACTAACGTAATTACGTTATGTGGAACCTCTCTATTACCTCTTGTTCCCGACTGCATTGTCGTATCCGAGTGTTGTTTACAGCGTCTGGCCTGTTTGGTGCCTACCAGTACAATGCCGGGCATACGATGGACTATTGTGAACCGTAGCAGCTTACTGGTCCATAGTCTCGGATGACTTTGTCCCGTGCCGTTAGCACACGGTGCGGCTTTGTGTGTGCTCTCGCGCCAAGTCCTCAACTCTATGATATGTATGTAGAAGCGATGAATATCCATGTGCCAAAGCGAGTGCATGCCATGCTTCGACTACATGTAGCGCAAAATATCTGGTCCTGGTGCAAGTCACACATGTTGTGCACTAGCAAATTCAGCCACCGACAAGCGTGTGAGTGTCAAGAAAGCAGAATACAGTCAGACTAACCGCACACATTCGTTTTCCACACAAATATCCGGATAGGCGAGGGAACCGGATAATCGAACACACATGCTGTATGTATGCATGACATAATGATGTAAATCGGTTCCCAACGATTTTCCTCCGGATAGGCGAGGGATCCAGATAAAAGAGGGTCGTATAAGCGAGGTCTGACCGTACAAGCAATGCACACGGCAGTACATTGGTAGTACGGGAAAAAACACTGCAAAATACGGAAAATCAGAAGTCACAGTACGCAAAACAAACCCAATTGGTTGGCAGCACTGGTGGGTCGTGACCCAAATGCTGCAAATCTCTAGACTAACACCCATGTGTGGATATGTGAATTGAGGTATAGGAAGTAGCGATCTGTGTCAGCGGTAATGTGTGTCTGTGTGTGTGAGGAGGGGGGCTCAAAAGAAAGTCACAAGACAAGCTATGAATATTGCTAAATGAGCGCTACAGCATCTATTTACAAGCACGAACAGCCATGGCGAGAGAATTACACATGTCATATAGAGTGGCGAAATAAGAATCATTAGTCATGTGTCTAAAACAAAGAGACAATACAGTAGCATGGCTGTATCAACACCTACAGTCAGACCATCATTTCACGTCATACCCCGGTAATGTCACGTATTAAAGCCGGGCTTATTCCTGTAGAAGCCGTTGTCAGTGCTAGGCTTCTATTCAAACCAGGTATTTCTATGTGTGTCAACACTAAAACCAGGCTTATGTGCCAACAGTGCATCTTTTTTTTTAAAATTCACGGTTCGCGCAAGACTCGGCTGGAAGCCGAGTTTTCCGCATCCGTAGGAACGCCACCATCCTCTAGGATCAAGGCGCAGATGCAGCTCCTAAGCGGTGGGAGGTGAGTACAGTCAACTTCGCTAATAACGACTGCGGATATACGACAATTCGCGAATAACGACAGAATGTCCATGCCCAGAGCAAAGTTCAATCCAACTGTAATACATATAATGAGACTTCGGGTATAACAACACTTCGCGAATAAGGACACGTTTCTGATGCCCCGCCGAATGTCGTTATAAGCAAAGTTGACTGTAGATCAGACCCACCACGAAGTGGTCAAAGACCGAAATCCCATTCACTGCATCCATGCATCTTGAAAATCAGGCTTGTATTCAAAACAGGCTTCTATATGAGACAGGTTTTAATACAAGACACTACGGTATGCATATCAGACCTTGTCCAGAAGCATCGTGCCTCAATCCCGGTTTACAGATGGACGCCTATCACGAATAAACATTTCGTCAGGGTTATTGCGATTGACAAAATTTGTCAACCCAATCACCATT